AATCCTCGGTTTTCTTATAGTGACTTTTATTTTGTTAGAGACATGGTTTCAAGGAGGAGCTTTTAAATCTAATTTGTCTCCGATCAAGATGAAGTAATTGATATTTTGACTAAAACTCTTTTTAGTATACTAGTTCAATATCTTCATGACAAACCGACGAGTAGGCGAACACCCAAAACTAGTTTGTGAGAAAGTGTTAAAACAGAAGCAACAAAATGATAATGAGGAACAAAATCAATCTGTTGCTACATATAGTGATGGTTTATAGCAACAACAAACTTGTGGCTAAGGATAGAAGCTTTACCTTAACAGTAATATTGATTTAAATAAGCCAAAATTATATATCTTTGTATTTATCACTTGTGTAATAAAATAGCTTATATGTACAGGAATCTAAGAAAAATATTAAGGGGAAAACATTATATTCTTTCTATTATTTGTTAACCAACCATAACTCTTATTTACGTTGTAATGATGGGTTGTCCTTAGTCTATAACCTTGCTGCAATACAAAAAAGAGTTAATGCATGTTCACATAAATGGATGGTAACATTTATGGCACACACGCCGATCATTATTTTAGAGGCAAGTACTCTAGGAATGATCATGATTCCTGACGATTATATGTAATTAATCAACTATAGTCATAGACTGGACACAAAAAGCGTAAAGTATGTATGACAAATTTTCATTTTCCTTTCAAAGAATCATAGTTTTTTCAACAATTAAAACTCGTTAATAACAAGGTGGGAATAGAACCTGATTGTTCTATGCAAACCAAACCAATCACATTATAAGAACTTACATGAGAATAGTTCTCATCATCAGGAAGATGAAATTTTAGTTGTTATAATTATCAACCAGCAAAATATTGCAGTCAGCTATTTAGTACTAGGAGTTTAAATTGAAGTGATATTTTTTCACATTATTAAAATAGCTTTAAATGGGTCAAACCTCTCCTAAACTTTCATCTACTTGAAAATCATCCATAAACTTCTAATTTTGGGTTTGACCTTCTCTGAATTTTTTTTTTTTTTGAGATTTAATTCTTCATATGATTTTCAACTATCACTTCCTCGTTTAAAAAAAATTAATTTCTGGTATTTTGAGTTGAAATTTTGCACACAAGTTGAAAAAAAAATTCAAAATATTTTTTAGAAAAATTCTAGAATTTTACAAATTTTTTAAAAATATATTCTTATTTTATAAACATTAAAAATATAAAAAATAAGAAAAATTAGAAAATAATTCGTAATGATCTCAAGTTTTTTTAGAGTCTTAGATAAATTTTATTAAATTATTTTTATTATAGAACTATTTATGTGATCGTTATTTTTGACAAAAAACTAAAGATAAACTAAATCTTAAAAAAATAAAATTCAGGAGAGGTCAAACTTAAAATTAGAAGTTCAAAGACTAATTTTCAAATGAATTAAATTTGGTCCATTTAAGCTTAAAATAGTCACAAAGTTTTTCATCACAAGAAGTATGGAAAGCTTATCTCAAAAAAACAAACAAACAAACCTAATATTTTACTTCATATGCAAGTACTCTTTCCTAATTACTACTTGCAGTTGAGAGCAGCAGTACTGATTCAGTTACTCACTCATTTCAAGGTGTTCACTAGGAAGTATACGCAGACTATGTAAATCATTAGAGGCATGCTACCTTCAAACACAAGTCACACACAGAGACAGACAGATATATGTGCATTATGTGTAGTTGGTCTTTCATTACTCTTTAAAATTGTAACAATATTATTGGAGGCCCTTTTGTAACATCATGAGTTTTTGGGAGAAGACCCAAGGAAACCCTAGAATGATTGGTTTGTGTGCATGCGCAAAGTATACAACACTTAGAAACAACAGCATGACCTAAGAGACCTTGCACCACCGTTTGATCATCCAAATTGGTGAATCAAACTCTTTCTTCTGCTCTAGTATAAAAGTACTTCATTATTGGCTAGCTGTAGTACTTCGTATATATATGAACCCAGATGGATACATTGCTTAACAACTACCAAAATATGTGTGAGGATTTTTCAACAAAACCAATCTTTTAAAAAAAGTAGTATATGTAAGGAACGTGAACTTACTTTCATTTCATGATGGCAACTAGTGATTTATAGCAAGCATTCTTGCAGTATATAAATTAAGTCAATTATTATATATGCAAATTAATGCTATTTCTCTCTTTTTCTGATCCGCTTTTCAGATGATGTCTCATGAAGTGTAGAAGGATAGGAAAGAATTAAAAGAGAAGTTTCTAAAAAATAATAAAAAATCAAGGGCTTTTAAGTCAAGTTATTTTGGTAGCCAAGACATTCTGAAACTTCTAGTAATTTACAGTGTAATTTAGGGTTGAGATGCAAATTAAAGAAGAGGATAATAAAGAATATGAAAATATGGTTGATATACACAAATGTATTGTGCTTAAAAGCTTATGGTTAACTTTGATCACCACATATGAAGCTGATAATGAGTTCAGCCCTAACTTACAGTCCTAGTTTTTATATGAACCCTAACTTACAACCGCAGTTTCAATTTCTGCAGCACTGTTGTAATATTATATAACGCAATACACTCTGGTATACTACTTGATTTTGGTTCCTTGTTTTCTATCATATTCAAATTAGTTAACCCATGATAATAATTTTTATAAATAGCTTTACGCATATAATCAATCGCATGATTTTCATATATATTAACTTAAATCGTGCATATAATTAATCTCAATCTAGTGGAAAAAAAGTAGACAGCATACTTAATTGTTAATATAAAAATCGTTTTTATTTTATACATGCATATTTTTAGAGAATAATATAAAATCATTCACGGGCTTCACTTAATAATTTAACCTTTTGAGTTGAAATAATTTTTGAACAAGGTATCACAGCTTTGATGACCAAATGATCACGATTCGAATTTTAACACTCTTACTTTCTTTTCTAATTAAGCATAAGGTAATAGTAGGTTTGTGCAAGTTTCAAGTTCAAAAGATTTTCACTTGAAGAAGTGTGTTAGAGAATAATATAAAACCATTCCTATAGTTTCACTTAATAATTTAAGTTCTTGGATTGCGATGTTTTTTTGAGACGCGCACCCATTATCTATCAATATAGACAACTCTGTCATTTGTCAAAATAAATAATATTGTTAGAGAATATATTTCATATTGAATAGTTAAACCGAGATGATTAATATATAAAGTTAAGAAAATATCACCTATCATAAAGCTTAAGTCTTTTTGATAGAATCTAATCTCAACTATCTAACTTTATATGATATCAAAGCTTTAAAGAAGCCCAACAATCTAACAAAGATCTTGGAATTTAAGCCACTTGATAGATCTGAAAAGATGGACTACAAGTGAGGAAGAGTGTTAGAGAACATAAACCAAATATGATTAATATATAAAATTTAGAAGGAGTCATCCATCATAAAGCATAAAAATCTTTTGGATAGAACTTAATTTTAACTATTTAACTCTATAAATATTACTTGTTCCCTTTACCCTAATTAGGAAACTAGTTATCTAAATTCATGTTGAACTAATTAAAACCAAATTGAAGCATAAAGTTTTAGTCAACAAATCAAACTAGGTCATGCTGCCTTTTTTATTCTTTGTGCACTTTAATGCGTTTCCATATTGGAGATCTCTTTTGATAATGGAATCCGGTTCAATATTTTACAAGATTTGTAGAAATACACCGTACGTCTTAAATAAGTTTGTAGCTCAATTGACATTCATGTCCATCCTCTCTAAGAGATCGCCTTTGAATCTCTTCCTTGTAACAAAAAAGGCATTAAGGTTACATATATGGTACTACTGCAATAATGTGACGGAAGATTAATCTCTTCATACGGAAGATCCATTATTAATGAAAATGATGTATCGAGCATCTCAGACGCCAACATTACAATTTGATTATCTCTTAGGAATAAGGGTTTGGTAACATGAAGGATGCCCAAATTTTCGATTAAATTGCTTTAATTTTATGAGAATGATTTACGTACGCAGCACCTATCGACAATTAAGTTGTAATTAGAGTAATCAAAGACATGAGTTAATTAATTAATCCTTAATACTTAACATCTTAGTTATATAATAAGCTCATTTTTACATGTCTAAGAACCTTCCTAAACTGTGAGAACTAAATTGAGAGTCAAAAGGATTTAAATTTGATGATCATAGGGATTTGAATTAATGCTAATTAAAATCATCTTTCGATAACATTGAGCTTTTTATTTTAGAATGAAATAATATTTAAAGAAGAGGAGAATTGAAGATCATGGAATCTATTAGTTTACTTAACTGATTATTTTTAGTATCATCAACTAATCAAGAATTAATTGAACACACACATGCAACCATCCTAAATTAGTGTTTAATTTTAAAGGATGAAACCAATTGCAATAAATGATGATGAGGTAACTTTTCAAAAAGGCAGGCAAGATTCATTCCTATATTGACTGAAACAAAAGAGAAGATGTCATCTAAAAAATAAGCCCTTAAGAAGCAGCCTAGGATTTCAGTGCTTGTGTAGGTTTGGCAAGACAAAATTTAAAGTAATATTATCAATGCAAGACTTCAATTGGAATTCAATGTAGCAAGGTCTTCTAGCATTCATTAGGTGCAATTCTTGGTTCTAAGAGAGAGAAAATCTCAACCCTAGATCATTCTGCTAAGTCCATCCAAAGCCTCCCCTCTTTCCAATTCATTCTATACATGTTGCATCATAGCTCCCCTTTGGTAAAAAAGTCTGCCTCAAATCACTCTCTCTCTCTCTCTCTCTCCCCAAGCTTGAGACACCTAAGAGAGAGTTCTTGATCATAACTTGCGTACTAAACCCTTCACTTTGTCTATTTTATGAGAGCATAATTAACTAGCTATGGTTGTCATCATTTATATAAGTCAGCAATCAGTTCAAGAGTTGCCTATTAGATAGCATTGCCCATTTCCTTTGTTGACAAAATCGTTCAAGAGAACACACCTTCCATCATGGATATCAATCAAACTAAATTCACAAACCACACATGGAATCTTGATATGCACATGGAAGATCAAATTCTCCATCATGACCAGATACCTTCTGACTCAATTTGGCCTAGCTACCCTCTCCAAACACAACAAACACCAGTTCCAGCTTCAAACCAAATACCACTCTCAACCCTTCTTAGTCATAACCATATAGGAAACAATACGGAGGAAGCTGATCATCAGGATGAGCGAGATGAAGAACTAGGAGCAATGAAAGAAATGATGTATAGAATTGCCGCGATGCAGCCCGTAGACATAGATCCGGCCACGATTCGCAAGCCTAAAAGGCGAAACGTTAGGATTAGCGATGACCCTCAGAGCGTGGCAGCGCGTCTTAGGCGAGAAAGGATAAGTGAAAAGATCAGAATTCTTCAAAGGCTTGTCCCTGGGGGAAGAAAAATGGACACTGCTTCAATGCTAGACGAAGCAATCTGTTACGTGAAGTTCTTGAAACGGCAAATTCGCTTACTTCAACCAACCAATCATCATCAGCACCAACCATGCAATACTAATGGAGATTGGCAAATTTCATACAATAACAAACCTCTTGATTCTACCACCACCATCACCACTTCTTTCTCCCTGGAACCCCGAGCCATGGGAGGGTTTGGATACGTTCTTGGTGGTAATGGGGGCAATCCCATGTGCTTTAATCACGAGGTAATTAGTGATCAGGGCTAAAGAGACAAGTGATTAATTAGTGTGTTAACTAGTCATAATTATTAATGAACTATTAGTAATTAATTAATGTGTGTGCATACATAAGCTAGCTAGCTTGGTACCATGTGAGGAAAAGGTTGTTAGGATATTGTTGACTAAAGGGTTTATATGGTCTGTGGAATAATCATAACGGTTCGCTTGAGTTGCGTTGAACCATATATATATATCCATCTAGATATAATATATAATAAAAGCTTTTGGAGTTTGAAGGGTTGGCCGGAAAGTTTGTTTGGCCGATTCTCTTCCTGGAATAAACAGTGACGTATGCATGTTTTTGAATATTATTTCTCTCTCTCTCTCTCTCTCTGAGTCCGTGTAAATAAATAAATATCCGCGTGCGATCACATACTCATACATGATCACATTCATCTTACAATTATATGAGGATAGATGAAGTATGTGGACGAATTATTTATGTATATTTGTGTTTTAAAATATATGTTTATATGCATAAACACGCACTATATATACGAAAATACAACTTTTTTTATGGCTTCTCTTGTCTCGTAAAAACGATTATAACAACTTCTACGAAGTATAATTATATCAATCGTCTCAAAACGGCTTGTATTGTTGTCGTCTCTAGGCCTTCTTGACAGTGTTATACATATATACTATCCAGCTAGCTAGCATTTTGTAATTTTGCATGTATATATATGGGTATATATATGGGTATACTATATATATATATATGTGTGTATGTGCATATAATGCACATACATATACACTTTCTCTTGATTATTTGTTGTGAAAAGAGAGTATGTCATAAAATAGGCAGAGAAAAAGAATGATATCAAGTTACTTCGATATTTGTTTGATTTAGTTGCTTTAAGATACCTTAGGGCAAACTTGACTTGGAGAGAAGAATGCTGAAGAAAACATAAGATGAGTGCAACAAAATTTGTTCTTTGGTGACTAGCTACCTAGTAACATTTTAGATATTCTCCCAAAGATAATTGAGTTTTCATGTATATATATATATAGCGTATTAGCTATTATTTAAAAAAGTAATATTACATGCTAAAAATAATATAAAATTACATTTGAAAACATCTATTCTCCGTCTTTAATTTTGTGAATAATTGATTTTTCTATAATTATTCCCGGCACCTTGCACCCAGCGTTTTTTTTAGTTATGATTATATTATATGGGGTAGTATCATTCGGTGTGCTAATGTAACTGAAAAAATATGCATTAAAATTCAAACATCTTAAAAATATAGTGATAATTTTTAGCTAGTTGACTGTCTAGTGAATTAAAGGGGAATTTTTAGAAAGAAATAATTGTTATATAATGCATGCTACAAACATTTTCTTCGCTTTGGATTAATATATATATATGTGAAGGACCTTCCTCAAAGCCAATTCTGAAAGCTTGCAATATATATTATGCTAGTTTTGCTTGAAACTACTTGCCCTTCGAAACCACTATTCAACACTTCTTTCATAATAATAATAATAATAATTCTCATCACCCCATTTTTACCCTCGCAAAAAAAAAAAAATACAAAAAAATACAAAAAAAAAAAGGGAATGGATAACGTAGCCCACGCCGGGCCGCGCACCAAGTCCAAAGGCGCCCAACCCAAGTGCACAAAGCCTAGTGGGCTGTCCAGCCCAATACCCATTAAAAAAAAAACATAAACCAACCTAGGTAACATTATAAATAGATCTTACCTTACCCACACTCGGACTCACACCGATACCTAGAAAAAAAACCTTAGTAGCTCAAAGAAAAAAGCAAAAGACCGTAATCGAAAGAAGCTAGAGCCACTCCTAACCGATCGACTTTCGACAAACACGCATCGATCCTTCTAGATTGTTCGACGGAGATGACTCCGGCATTGTAAAAGCGACTCACTTTCGACAACGGACTAGCCTTCATGCACCATTACTCGTTGTTCACATATCCAATTTGGTCCACGAATTGCTTATTTAGCTAATTATGTCCCTACACTTTCATGTTTCTAGTCTAATTTTCATTTAATTTTTATGGTTTTGCCTAATTACTTCTCTCTTGTATAGGATGATAGTATCAATTATGTCTTTGAGGATGGATATTCGATGATTATTGAATGCAAAATATTTGGATAAGGGTGTTATTTAAAAATTCAAAATCATGAATACTTTGTTATATTTGACAAATAAAAAAGAATCTAAATTTAGATTTCTTGAATGTGTGATGTGTTTTAATACTTAATGGGATTAGTGAATTTTTTTTAAGTTTTAATCTTGTCTCTTTTTTTTCTTATCGGTAGTTTCAATAAAAAAGGGTTGTTTTACATATTATATAGTATCTTTATTTTCTATATAATAAGTTCTTGAGGAAATGTCGATCGATGATGAAGCTAGCAATAGGCTTGTAATTTTTTTAAAAAAATTAAAATAAGCAAAATCTAAATTAATAGGCCAATTATCTTGTGGAGGTCTATTGGCTATTTTTATTTTTCATGGTGTTGTCTTATGTGATTTGTGGCTTTTACATGTTAATATGTCTTCGCATTTAATGTGTTTATTTTGTGTGATGCTAGTCTTGATCGGTCTAGATGGAATAGGTTTAGAACTTGAAATCAACTTTGTTCCAATGATGCGTTTTTTTCTCATCATTTATTTTATTTTTATTTTATCGTTATTGCTATTGTTTATAGTTGATTTTAATTTATTTTTATGGGACAACTAATTTCTTCTTCTCGTAGATTTAGCTTTGAATTTGGGCTTTGAGACTCAATTTAATATTTTAAAATGGCATTACCGGGTGATATGGGCTTGAGGCCCATGTCCATTTTTTAGGTCATTACGGACTAGTAATTTTATTTATTTTTATTTTCATTTATTTCATGGTTTGACGGGTGAATTTGAGCTTATGGCCCATGTTCATTTTATTTTTATTTTTATGTTTGTATGGGATTAGGATTTAATTGACAATGGGCTCCAAGCCCTAATTTATACCTTCCCAAATGGTTTCTAACGACCCAATAATATTTTAAATGAGACACTAAGTTTCCTTTTTAGTTTACAAATCACCTCTCTTTGACTCGGTAAGAAAAAGTCTAAATAATCGAATATGCAAATCAGGATAAAAAAATAATTTGCATGAATGAATTCTCTTAAACTAGAAGGATAAGATAACCTCATTGCGAGGACATACTAAAGTGATTGTAGTCTTTTCTAGTTGTGTAATCAACGTCCTTACTTGGAACTCTTAAGACTAGTGTTATATTTTTTTTAGTTTTTACATTTTTAAAAACCGAGTAATGACTCTACACCTATATGTTTTTTTTTTTTGTTTGCCAAGAGTTCACTCGTGTGACAATAATAACAATTAAACAGATCCCATAAAAAATTAAGAACCAACAAAAAAAAAATTAAGAATGACAAGCAAATATTTTTTTTTAATTAAAAACTATAAGGTATTTCAAAATATCATCTCATGCTCTACTCTTTACTATTATAAAACCTAATTAATTTTTTAGATACAAATACTTTAAAATCTAAAAGTGGTTTTTTTTTAAAAAAAAACTTTTCTAAAATAGAGTTTATATAATAATAATAATAATAATAATAACAATAATAATTTTATTTAAGAATGACAAGCAAATATTTTTTTAATTAAAAACTATAAGGTATTTCCAAATATCATCTCATGCTCTACTCTTTACTATTACGAAACCTAATTAATTTTTTAGATATAAATGCTTAAAAATCTAAAAGTATCTTGAAAAAAAAAAAACTTTTCTAACTTAGAGTTTATATATAATGTATTCCTAATAATGTAAAAAAAAATACGAAGGTATATTTGTTATTAAGTTAATTTACTTTCCTAATACACATGTGAGATTAATCTTAGGAAAAGAAAAGGTTAGATTGCTCATTTAAATTTGAAGAACCACTTTCTCTCTAATAAAGAACTTATATCACATTGAATAAATAAAAAATATGTTAGTAAGATATAGAGTTAAGAATGAGCCATTCACCACAAAACTTATGACTTTGGGATGAAATTTAATATCAACTATCTAATTTCATATGGTATTAGAGTCTAAAAAAAGTACAACTCGCTTCGTAAAAATTCTAAAATCCAAACCACTTAACGATTTCAAAAAATAGATTGCAAATAAGAAAAAGAGTTAGAAAATCCATTCCACATCAAGCAATATAAACCATTTATGGAGTCTTACCTAATATCTTAATCTTTTGGATTGAGATGGTTCTTTGACATGATATCGGGATTTTGATGACCAAACGATTACAAGTTTGAATCTCACCACATCTATTTTCTCTTATAATTAAAATTAAATAATTAAGCACAAGGTATTGATGTAAGTTTTAAACTAAAAACAAAAAAATCACTTGAAAAAGTGTTCGAAAAATAATATAAATTATATGATGGGACCTTATTCAAAATTTTAACTTTTGGATATTGTTATTTAAATTGATATAAAAGAGTCAAAGAAACCTAATAGTACGAGTAAAAGAATAGAGTCCATGAGACGTAACGAACCGAAAAAATAGACTATAAATAAAGGAGAGTATTAGAGAACTTATTCCATATCAAGTAATAAATAGAATTAAAAAGGTCACCACAAGCTTTAAGTTTATATATATATATATATATATATATATATATATATATATATATATATATATATATATATATATATAGGCTTTTATAATATTGAGATTTCTAATTCTTGGTTTTTGGATAAAATGGAAAACAAGTTTTGTATTTTTGGATTTGAAAGAAATGCTATCCTCAATGACCTTATAAGGGGTTATAAGATTAATCAAGGGTGTACCAAATATCACTCGTATGATGCATATTTTCAACAAGAAGCAAATTATTTTTTATGGCAGTTGTTCCATTGACCAAAAAAGGTTTATGTTTTTCCTTTTATGATCATTTTAGAATTGTTTGCTTGCAGAAAGTCTTTCATGGGTTTTTATGTGAAAACGTTTTGGAACTTATGCCTTCTTTTATACGATTCAAATCAGCACCGGTATCAAACAAGGCAATAATATCAATTTTAAAATCTTTTGGAAAATAAGAGTTATTTTGATCAAGCATTTTTGAGAAGTTACTTCTTTTAAAACAAAAACAAAATCTTTTGGAACTCGTTCCAAGTTTTCTAAATTTTGTATGTCTTGGTTTTCCGGAAGGATGGTGGGATTACCATGTCACCGCCCGACAACAACTCAAAATCCTAAATTCCATACAAACCCATGAGGATAGATTACCTATTCTAGATGACTTGGGAGACACTATTCAAGATGTAGTTTCAACACTAATCTTGACCATTCCCCTACATTTCATAGGAGATCCCTCTCACCTTAAAGACAAAAACACTCGAACTCCTAAGTAACCTAAGGTGCAAAACACTTAATGACTTCCGATGCTCCAAAACTACTTTTATCACCGAGTCATGTTAAGGGAAGATTCCAACCAACCTTTTTGCAAGGAAAAATTTCTTGCGAGTCTTCCAATCCTTGTAGGAGAAAAGGTTAGAACCGGAATTAAAGATGCTTTTGGAGATAAAATCCCTTATGACCAATTGACATATGGAGAATTAATTAGTCTAACCCAAAAACAAAGACTAAAAATTTACCAAGACCTAAAGCTCCAAAAACACCTAAAATGGAAAATGAAGAAAACCGAGCAAGAACTTGATAGTTTCGTAAACAATTTGATATCACCACCACAAAACCTTCATCTTCGAGTTGCAAAAACAATTTCAATGACAAGACTCATAGGAAATCATATAAAAAGCCTTCCCGCCACCACAAAAAAAAACCTATTCTTGTCAAGTTTCTTCACTATGTCCGTACTAGTATCATGTATAAGGTCCTAATCCTTAGTTAACATATTGACTTGTTTTGTACTAGTATCAAGTTCTATGTTTGAACTAGAGGAAGTAATAAGTTCATCAACTTGTAAAGTTTCTTCACTATCAAAAAAATTTAAGGGATCGGACGTTTCAATGAGAAGAGCAAAAATTTTGCTAATGGTTTCTTCTTCTAGTTGGAGTTCCCGTAGTCCGGAGTTTATCTTACGAGTATTTGGAAATGTGGCCTTTTTGACCTCATTTGTAATAGGTAAAGTCTTTTGGATTAGTTTTGGACATGAGCCTAAACTGGTGCTTCTTGAAAGGCTTCTTGGATTTCTTGTGGGAAGGCTTATTGTAATAAGGTTCTTCTTTAGGTTTTTCTTTGTGGTGGCGGGAAGGCTTTTTGTATGGTTTCCTATGAGCCTTGTTGTTGCAATTGTTTTTGCAACCTCGAAGATGAAGGTTTTGAGGTGGTAATATCAAATTTCTTACGAAACTACTAAGTTCCTGTCTGGTTTTCTTCATTTCCCGTTTTAAGTGTTTTTGGAGTTTTAGGTCTTGGAAAATTTTTAATCCTTCCTTTTAGGTTAGACTAATTAATTCCCCATATATCAATTGGTCATAAGGGATTTGGTCTCCAAAAGCATCTTTAATTTTGGTTCTAACCTTTTCTTTTGAAAGGATTGGAAACTTGCCCTAGGAAAATTCTCCACATTTTCGAAAAATCAAACTCGAGTTGTTGTTGGCTTATTAACTATCTAATTTAATATGGTATTATAATATCAAAGAGATTATTAGTCTAACAAAAATTTTGAAACCCAAATTACTTGACTGATTTTAAAAAATAAGTTGGAAGTAAGAGTAAGTATGAGTGTTAGAGAACTTATTGCATATCAAATAAATAAATAATATATGCATATTATATAAAGTTGAGAATGAATCACCTATTATATAAGACTTAAGTTTTTTTTTTTAATGTAATTTAATTTCCACCACCTAATTTAATTCTCTTGAAATAAGAGAAAATAGTGGATTGGAAAACTCATCAAAATGTTAGATTTTTAATTGGTACCTAACACGGAAATTCTTAACACCTCAAAATCATAATTCCTTTCCTTTCCTCTCATTTCATTACGTGAATTAGTTCAAACTCATGATGGATACTTCCATTGGTGCACAAATATAATTTTGTGATTATTTTGCTTTTTTTTTTTAGAATAAAAAACAAAAGGAAAGGAGAAATAAATAAAAGGAGAAAATCTAATAAAAGTTAGAAGGTATTTTTGAAATAAAAACTACTTATGTTGAGATTGGTAAATACTAGTAAATAACTATTTAATTATATTTTACAAGGATTAAATAATTTTTTTTATAAAGTACAAGGAGTAAATTAATTAAATGATTAACTAAGTCGGAGATAGAAATGGATTGCATATATATATATATATATATATATATATATGCGCACACACAGTTTTGAAGGTTAGGTGTAGTTGGTAAATAAGTTTACTTCTCACCTTACTATGTAAGGTTTCAATGCGAAAGAAAACGTAAGAAAATAATCTATGCACGTAGTAAAAGGGACAAATAAGCTGAACTAATAAGTAGTTTGCAGTTTCCAGGCGCGGCGCTATGTTGTAACTTGAGGGGCCAAGGCCCTCCAAAATTTTTGAAAAGTTAAATTTCATTCCTATTTCTATGTTTTTATAATTAAGTCACTAATAAGAAGTTCACTTATTAAACTTGTGACCTGTTTCTTTTACTTTCTTTTGAATCTTACCCTTTATGTTCCTCCAATCATTTTGCTCTAGTTTCGGCACTTTAGTTAGTTTGTGCAAAATTCTGTAGAAGACAAGCAAATTGATTTTCTTCTAATAATTAAGACTTGACACATTTGAAAACCAAGCCAAAGTCTTTCTTAAGATATCATCAAAGGTCAGAATTATAACTTAATTAGAAATCATGGTAGCTGGTAAAGTGGAGAAGACAGTAGAAATCAGAGGACCCATCGATTTGTTTTACAATGTTTTCAAGGATGTCTATTTCCCTATTATGCTCTGAGGAATGTCAAATCAATCGATCTTCCTAAGACTAACCTAACCTACGACGCCACTTGCTTTGCCAGGGTTAATTGTACGGAGCTGAAATAGTTGGGTAAGCCAACAACTACATATTTTTTATTTTTTATTTTTTATTTTCATAGGAAGTAATGGTTACCATTAATTACGTGTTGTTAGAGGATGGTGCTCAGTTATTGATATCCTTATTGTATATAATAAGATGAATTGGTGTCACAATATACAATAAAATTGACAATTAATTGGATGAAATTATTAATTGCTCATAAGCAAGTGATAATAGCATTGAAAAAGGGATAAACTGTCAAACACCCCATGAAATTTAGGAAAAGAAAAAAACAATTACTCTTTTGAACTGAAAAATCATTGTTGTGCTTAATTAAACAATGTGATTTTTTGAATTTTTCTCTTCTATTAGGGTTTTGTTGAAAAATTGATGGCAAAAACTTTTAAAAATCCTTTCAATTTCTATCATTTTTTTTTTTTTACCAACTGACAAAAAACCATCTTCACTTATAGATAAAATAGAAGAACAGAGAGGATTTTTAAAACCTTCATAATGTTTAAAAGGTAAAATCAAAATTTTTTTAGTTAATGTGATATTTGTTTTTTGTCTCAAGTTCAATGAAGTATTTTACAATTTAACCCTTGAAAAGAAGACAAACTGGTACTATAGAAGTGCTTATGGCTTACAATAAATCATATCATTAACCAAAAGGTTTATATTCAAGATTTTCACTTGACGGTTTTAAAATCCAATATAAGAAGTATGAAGTTGCCATTCATTTTCTTTGATAAACGTGGCTAATCAGGAGAAACGACTGTTTTTAGCTAGCATTCTTCGTAAGTTCAAACATTGATAAAGGTAAGGTGGAATAATTTCATGAGGTGAAGAAGGGAGTGACCCAAGTCTTGTTAAGTAGACCTCTTATATATATATATATATATATATATATATATATATATATATATAATGAATTTACTAAGAAGATAAAGAAAATATACGAAAGAATAAGCAATCACTTGAGATGACTTAAGTGACATGGGATTTGGTAAGAGATCTGATATTTGTAGAATTTATAATCTAAAATCGGATGAAGAACATTTAATCTCTTCGATCCTTTTGGGTTAAAATAAAATAATTATTCAACTCCATGTATGTTATAATTTCAGAAGAAACCCATCCTTTTGGAAATCATTCATTAGTCATTACAAGACAAGATAATGAGGACAATTTTATGAAATTTTTGTCAACAAATTTGGTCTGAAATGTACTCAAATAAAAGAGTTACCCAAAAAGATTATGACTTAAAGGAAAAATACAATAATTAGTCTCTTCAGATTTGCCAAATCTACATCTCTAACTAACCTGAAATATATTATATGCACTCCACCAGGCTTCTCTGTTTTCTTTTTATTCTCCTCTCTCTCTCTTAACCAACTCCGATCTCTTTTGTATTGAATTCATGTCCATTTCTCTGCTACATCTCCATAGAAATCTCTCAAATTTGTACTTCTCTACAAAATTATCTACTTAATGAATTAAAAATGGTATGTTCTCTCAGTCTCTGCATCATCAAGCAATAAGTTTGTTTAATGGTAAAGTCTTGACATTTTCATTCAAGATTCTTGCTTTTTGAATCTTGGTTCTTTTTTCTTGAGATTTGATGGATGCCCATTTTGTTCTTCAATCATTTCTTTAGGGGGTGTGGTTAAAAGTTGTTTTGAGCTAGGATTTTTCAGTTTCTGGATTGGTGTATGTTAGTAATGCTGTTGTTATAATTTGAAACTCTTGTGATTTGTTGAGATTGATGTTGGTGTAGTTTTGTCTTTGTTGATATGATAATGTCTGGTGTAGTGGTTCTTTGATTGATACTATGGTTGGTTTGAAGTGCTTTCGTTATGGAAAGTTGGGTTTTTGGGCGATCTTAAATTGGGATTTTGGGTCTCTTTTCGTTAGAATAACAAGTGTTTGTTGATTGTTGGTAGTATGGTTGATTGAGGTAATGTCTACTTTTAATAGGAGTAAGTCAGTAAACCAGAGGTCCTTGGGTGTTGGAACCCCAAGAAGTGCTAGTTTCGGAAGCCCGAGAGTAAAATTGAACTCAGTCTCTCGTTGGTTTCGATGGCTTGTTGTGATAGGGGCTTTCTTGCCATTTTCTATAGCCATTGCTGGTGGTTACTTTTATCTTCTTCCGAGTCTCACTCAAGCATTCCAGGGTTTTGGTAATTCCAATGATTCGACAAAAGAATGCAATCTCTTTGATGGAAATTGGGTTTTCGATGATAGTTACCCTTTATATAATGCTTCAGAATGTCCATTTGCAGAACAAGGGTTCAACTGCTTAGGAAATGGAAGGAGAGATGAGGATTATCTTCGATGGAGGTGGAAACCCAAGAGTTGCGATATTCCACGATTCAATGTACATGATATTTTGGAAGGGCTTCGAAATAAGAGGGTTGTGTTCGTTGGTGATTCTATGAGTCGAACACAGTGGGAATCATTAATATGTTTGCTCATGACTGGAGTAGAGGATAAAAACAGCGTTTATGAAGTCAACAATCATAACATAACAAAACGGATTAGGTTTTTAGGTGTCCGATTTAACTCCTTTAATTTCACAGTTGAGTTCTTTCGCTCAGTTTTCTTGGTGCAACATGTTTGGATGCCTAGACATGTGCCAAGGAGGGTTAGGTCAACACTCAAACTGGACAAGTTGGACGATATTAGCAATCGGTGGGTAAATTCAGATATTCTCATATTCAACTCAGGACATTGGTGGGTTCCAGGGAAGCTTTTTGAAACGTAAGTTCTCCGACCTAAATTTCCATTTGCGCTCATGGATCTTTTATTTTGAATTTAAATGCAACATTTCAAGCATACGTTTTCATTAATGATTTTGATGGAAACATGTATAGGATCTAATTGATCTCGGGTTCAATGATGCCACTCTGCATGGCATCATTTATAGGCTTAACTGGCTGGTGTTCTGTATTCATTGGTTGGTGAATTTGTACATCTTTTGGAATCCACATACTTAACTGTGAATGCTACGCTTTTCTTTAAATATCGACTATAAGTCCATACTTTGGATGCCTAAGAGTGTTTTTGAATTCAGTTGCTATTTACTTGCTATCATTGTTAGTAAATGAAGTGAAAAAAAAAAAAAAAAAGCTGCTGCAACAGATATGGTTTAATGGGATTTGCAGCTTAACAGCTTGCCCAGGAAGAAAGATACTTTTCCTTCTGAAGATATCTTTACAATTAGAGAAAAGGAATGACGGATTGTGTCAAAACTTATGTTGTCGAATAGTGTCATTAATCATATAATGAAGGACCTAGAATATTCGAGGCTAGAGTCCGAGACTGTGCATGTCTAGCAGTATCAAGAAGTATAACAAGACTAATTAACATGCTGCTTTACCACTTTATCATTGTGTAGTCTGGATTTCATGAATATCCTGTTTTGGTGTTAGTATTTCTGCATTTTGTACATGGCTTCCCTAATCCCATGTAAGTGCACACTTATCTTATTATTTCCTACCTCAGGCATGAGCTGCACATTTTACATGTAAATTGTGTTTTGAACAGGGGCTGCTATTTCCAGGTTGCAAATACCGTAAAGCTTGGAATGTCAATTCCTGTTGCCTTCAGAATGGCACTGGACACTTGGGCATCATGGGTGGAGAAAATGATTGATACAAATAGAACACGTGTTTTCTTTCGGACATATGAGCCATCTCACTGGAGGTACTCTTTAATTCTGATACCATGTTGGTGTGCTCCCAAACACGTTCATCTTTCTATTTTGTGTAACTACTAAAAAGCTAGTATATTTATTGGTCCAAGATTTTGTTTGCCTGTTCTCGTTGAAGAGTATCATTATAAAACTTCTCTCTCTCTCTCTGTTTTTTTTTTTAAACCAAAACTAACACCACCTCTCCAAATGAGAGGCATAAAAAAGCATCTGAACTTGACCTTTCACTTCACAAATGTTTATTGGCAGTCATGGTTCACACGTTTTATCATCTCATTTATTTATATTACTTGTTTCCATTATTTTTTATTTCGTTGTGTTTAAATAAGTTGCACATTGCTCTCTTCTACATGCATAAATATGGTTTTTGTTTTGGAATCAGTGACCAATCAAATAGGCTCTGCAATGAGACCGACCGCCCAATGTCAGAAACCGGAGGAAAGGACAGAAGCCTATTTTCAGACACAATAATGGAAGTGGTAAAAAATTTGACAGTTCCTGTAACTGTACTCAATGTAACCGCCATGTCAGCTTTCAGGAGTGATGCACATGTGGGCAAGTGGAATGGCAATCCATCCATACCTGATTGTAGCCATTGGTGTCTACCTGGAGTACCAGATATGTGGAACGAAATTATTTTGTCATACCTGCTATCCCAGTCATGAACTTCCTCTCAAATGAAGCACAGCAGAATGTGAGTGTCAGTTCCTTTCTGATATTCTTCTTTTACTTCAGTCAATTCAGCATAAATGATTATCCTCTCTCTCTCTCTCTCTCTCTCTCTCATGTCCATGTGAGTGTTTAGTGTTGAACGGACTTATATTTGATCTAGATGCTCCAAGACAAACCTAGAAAGCCAAATGATAACTACTTGCATCAGCAAAAGGAATTCTATAGTTTCTCCTTTTTGAGCTGTTACCATGTCCACATAGAGTTATATCACTTCTTCTGTGTCACTTTGTGTCGTTGTTTATTCCTTAACATGTTTGTCTTGGTTCAGGAATACTCTGCTAGAAAACTAGAGAAACAGGGCAGTATATGCTCTACTTTGTCACTTACCTAGTCTTAATTTTAGCGCCCTCTTCCCGACATCATAAATAATATCTTGCATAAAACCCCAGTCTCTAATATAACAACAGAGAATCAATCCGCAAAAGCTCCTATTTAGTTATTGTCTGCAAATTTTCTGCAGCACTAAAAGGCAGGGAACTTAAAACAACATTCTTAGTTGATTTTCTTACCTTGTAGCAGATCCAAAAGTGTACATTTACTACCTGTCAAGTGATCTAACTCCCACCCAAGCAGCTCTGGTGTGAATTCTGAAGGAAGAAGAATTTACTAAATTTTTGGTGTGGGCTTTCTCTCCATCTATACTTGTTACAATACTGAGTTTGCAACTGGTGTTTTGACGAAAGAGTAGGTTACATGGAAAATACAGTTTTGAAGAGAAACCGATTTGTTCATTCTTTTTGCACATTTTTGGTTGTTTGGAAGGGGCTGAAATCTGGTCTCCAATGTGTAACAGTTTTGTCCACTTTGTAGTAAAAGTTTTGGTCATGATATTGTTTTATTGAACAAAAGGGGATTAAAAAAGAAGAAGAAGAAGAAGAAATAAAAGGATGAAATAGAAATTCACCTTTGTATTTGTCAATTCTTGAATTGGTGCATGTCCTTTGAGATGAATTACAGTGTGATAAGAATGATTTCTTCCTTCAGATATTGAAGACCTGGTTTCACTGTCATTTCTGCTGTGCAAATTCATTTAATACAGAATTTTTCTGAAGCCACGATTTATCCACAAGCTTGTGAAATAAAAAACAATGTGATTGGTTCTAAATGGCTTCTTTCATAAGGTTGAAGGTGTTATTTTTCTTTTCTATTATGAATTAAAACCCCTCATTAAAGAACTTACTCAAGAAATTTTTTTCTATGATGTCAGTTTCCAGAGAATCTGGAAAAGCTTAAGAATACTCCAAGAAAGTGATGTTAATTTGATTTCCCTACAAATATACTCAACTTTTCAGGCATATTCTTTACACCAAAAGCTAAAAATAGCAGGCAAATATTTTAGTTTTGGGATACTAACACATCATGTATGTGAGAAATTTGCTTCCTTCTGATGGATGTTCATGACATTTTAGACAAAGATGATCATATCATCCATTTCTCTCACAAGGTAAAGAAATTTCTTTTTAGTGGTCTCTCTTAAGAATTGAAGTCTGAATGATTATGTAGACAGTAATTCCTTAGTCACTGGGATTACACCTTCAGACAGCTGGTTCAAGTCATTTTTGTGTATTTACTTGGATAAGAAGATAAAATCTCCATCTTAGGTAATCTCATGGAACCATTGTTTTCACTGTTCTTGTAAATTCAATGCACAAAAAACTAACCAATACTTCCTTTTTGTTTTCCTTTACCAGTCTCTTTATTTGCTCAAAGCAAATTATTTTCCCATTCATTTGCATTTTACTTGTCCACAGCAAATGAATTATACATTCCCTCAATCGTTTTTACATGTTCTCACAATTTAATCGTTGACATTTTACTGCTTATGTTGAATTACTTCTCCTTTCTCCATATATATATATATATATATATATATATTCCACGCATTCTAGCCCTAGCATTCACACACTCCTCGTTCACTCCCTCTGCCCTAAAAAGTTTTTAAAACTAAATCATGGCTCAAGTTACAGCAGGACCTTGAGCGTAAGAAGGCACAGAAAAATCACATAAAGGACTTATTGGTAAAGAAATTATATTTGAAAAAAGAAAGAAAAGAAATTGATCTGCCTCAACTTTTTTTTATTTGTAACTTTGAAGATGTTTAACATACTTGCAGCATAAATTTTTAATTTTTCAACAGTGGAAATCTTCGGGGAGTTGGGCTGAGAACGAGCAACGAGAGAGGGTTTTTTAGTGTCTAATTTTTGATTTTTGATTTTTTTTTTTTAATGTTTTGATATCAAACTATTGATTTCTAAGGATCTGCTACCCAATTTTTTGATTTTTTATTTGTTTTGATGTCTAAATTTATTTGAAGTTCAATTTTGCTAACGTGTCCGACGAGATTTGTTATGTGATAGTAGAAAAATGTCACGTGGTGGTCAACTCCGGATACGTTAGCACTTCATACTCTCAAGTTGGTGTAAGCAATAAAAAAAAAAAAAATCAAAGATTAGGCATTGAAATAGAAAAAAAAAAATTAAAGATTGGGCACCAAAAATATAGATTTTTCAAAAAATTTATTGTCATCATATTGCAAAATTAATCCAATAATTTCTGATAAATATTTTTATATCATGCTTGTGATGTTTTTTTAACTTATCAATGACAATTTTTAGTAACTTTTATCGGTTAAAAATTACTTTTTAAAAATTTTAAATCCTTTTAACTATTTAGACATAGAATATTATGTCATTTAGTTCAAATATATTTAGGTCCAATTAAGATTAAATTTAGAAAAACAAAAGGCATATAAAATCCAATTATTATTTTTATTTGAGGGACAAATGGTTGGTCAATAGAGAAATTTACAAAAAGCAAAAATTGCTTTCTCTGTTTAGAGAGAAGATCAACCAATATATCATAGTCAATAATTTGTTGAACTTTTTACAATAAGTTGAGATAAGATAGAATCAATATGAATAAGTTTAGTGATCAAGTTTTTTAATTTAAGTGTTTAAAGGGTAATACTTTTGATAACGGTGACAATAATGATAAAAATAATAAGTAAAATGTGAATTAAGCTAAGAAGTGAATGCATTGTTAAAATTGCATGTACAATTAGCATAATAATAAGAAATATGCATGTATGTAATTGTTTATATTCTTAGAATTTAAAATTATATAACTTTCAATATCTAAAAAGAAGTTTTGAGATATCATATATATAAAGATTATAGAAGCACAAAAAATACATGAAATCTATTTATAATAATAATAATAATAATAAAGAATAGATCATAATACAAAAAGAGGATAAACATTTAATGTGAGAAAATTGAAATAAATTTCTTAAGAGAATGATATTTTTGATGTCCAACCATTGACTTTTTTTTTTTTTAGGTGCGTTGTTTTTAACTTTTTTTTTCGTAGTTCATTGTTTAATTTTTGATTTTTTTTTCCTATTTGAGTATCCAACAGCTACCTAGAGTTGATTATTACATGATAGAGTTAATTGTCATTGACATTTTTTAGCTGTCAAGTGGTACATTTCGTTAAACACATCAATAAAATTGGATCTCATGTGAATTCGGACATAAAAATAAACAGAAAATCAAAAATTGAATGACAAATCATTAAAAATCAATAACTGAACACTAAAATAGAAAGAAAGAAAGAAAAAAGAAAAAAAAAAACACCAGAAGTTAGACGCTAGAAAAACCTTCTTCTCTATCCTAATCTACCGAGGGACATCCTTACGTTCGCAAAACATTCATTCATTAATTTTTTTTTTTTTTTTTTGCACCTGCAGCCTTGGAAGATGACAGCCATGCATATGAGGAGGTAATGGATGAGCCAGCCAATGGCAAGATGGACTAGCATGAAAAAAATTAAAAAAAATCTGAGCAAAAAATAATTGGTCGTTGTCTAAACAATTCATACCAATCAACAACATCAATATCCTTGTCAATGAAATTGAGATGTAGAAAGGAAACCTCTAATAAATTGAAAAACACAAGAAGTGTTTTTTAGGGCAACCAGTGACAAGTCTTTAAAAAACTTAGCATGAGAGTCAAGTTACTCAAAGCTTAGAAGCATGCATAACATCAAACAATTCAAAATCCGACTCTTAGAGTTAGCAATACAAATAGGCATGAGCACAAGCCATATTCTGCACATCATCTCAGCAGCAACAAAACCAATTCTATCAACCTCCAAACCTTTCCCAGGTTGACATGGCTCCCACTAACAACTATGACTACAACTTCCCATATTTCCCTCTTTCACCACCACCACATAATAATCCTCCATTCCCTCCACAGGTTGCACCACCTCATAATTCTCCCACCCCTCCAAAAGTGTCCCCACCGCATCATCCTCCGCCACCACACATTACACCCTCCCCTCCAAAGGTTCCTCCACCACATCATCCTATTACACCACCAACACCATCCCCATTCCCAGTTCCAGCAACACCACCCAATCATCCATTTCATCCACCACCACCCCATCACATTCCTCCACCATCACCATCTCATATTCTTCCACCTCCACCTCCTCATATTGTTCCACCTCCACCACCAACACCAGGACATCATTCAACTGTTATAATTGTTGTCTTTGTCTCACTTGGTGGTCTATTCTTTCTTGCATTCCTCTCAGTGGCTCTCTGTTGCTTCATTAAGAAGAAAAAGAAGAAAACTGAAATCTTAGAGTTTGATGAACATACTATAGTCCAGGAAGCCATTTTTCCAGGCCCACATGGTGAGAAAATCACAGTACTAAACATTGAAGAGGATGTGCATCTTGTAGAGGAGATTAAGAAAAATGAAAAACTGACTGAAGTTTCGCACATTAAATCGGCACACGATCATCCCCTGGATTCTGATATAGCAACATCCTCCTCTCAGTCCAGTCAGCAGAGTCAGCACCATCTTGAGCACAAGGTCTGATTGAAACACAAACGAATAAAAGAAGCGGCAATATAATTGTGTATTCCTTGTCAACAACAATATCCTACTGGGATAATACACAAAATTTCTTAATTCTTTCCCAAAGTTGTCAATACTTCTTCTTTGAATAAAAAGTAAAGCTTGTTGAATAGTATAGTCATGTTCATCCATATTAGAAATCCAAACTATACCGAGAAATTAAAATCAGAACTAGCACTATCGCATTAACAGAGAAGAAAATCTCCAATAAAATAGACAATATCATACTTACTGATTTGGTAGTTGGGGTTATACATCCATGATCTATCCCCATTAACATTCTAATTTAAGTGGGTCAGAATGCAACGTCAAATTAACACAAAACAACAAGCATGCACTTTGCAGCTCTGTTATAGCATCTAATAATAGCTACAGAAAAATGTGTCCTCTCTTAGAAGAAACAATTTTGCAAGTTTGTTTTAACCTTCAAAAACATAAAGTATTTACTGATGTATAAACATGTGGGATCAATGACAATGACTGCAAAAGATACCATGCTCATAATGAGCATCATCATTTGACTCAAGCCAATTTATCTATCAGCATAATTTGCAGGTAGATATGTCAAATTGGATACTCTGATAATTATCATAATTGTTTTCGGCCATTCTAACCATGGGGATCGGTATCAAAGCTGGGATAGTATCAGAATATTGTGTTTGGTTACTGAATGATGTTATGATGCTAACACACAAAATTAAAAAAGTTATACTATAACATAAAATTGAAAAAGTTGATCTAAAAGGATGGTAGATGAACCTGTTCAATTGCATTCAACAAGCAATGAACGGTTGTCGGTCAAGATGCAAACCTAAATGTATTTAGATTTCAAAGACAGGGTACTCCAAGCTTTTCCTTCAAAGCTAGTCATACCATGCCATATGTCTGAACCTGAAAACAAAACAAATAACCGGATCAACTGCGATGCCAGTGGCACAATAAATCACCCAATGGGTGTGATATTACACAATTTTATAGAAGAGAACATGATGAAATATTTTCAACATGGCTAGATTAAAAATTGAACCCCAAAAGTCTTTTAGTGTATCATCATATATCCCTGCATCATGCTTTCAAGAGATTCAATCTCACCTAAATAATAATATAAAAAAAAGCACTTTGTTTATGGTTTATCATCATATATCAATGCATTACACTGTCAAGAGATTCACTATCGTCTGAATAACAGGAGAAAAAATTCATTCACGAGCTAAAGGAGAATATATGGATATATTTTCAAAACAGATAAGAAATTATGAGCAAATACAATGGTTATTCTGGAGCTGCACGTTATTGTCTTTTGCAAAATTAGTTTTACTCACAGTTCAAAATCATGAGGCCACATTAGCACCTTGATCATTCCATTTAAAGTTTCACACACCACTTTTGTCAATGGATGAAAATGATATCCTTGGTAGAATTTGTGTAATGTTCCTGCTATTGTTATCCAGCTACATCTAGGAATTTTAGCCAAATCCAATTCTCTCATCTTTGCTCTGGTTATTGCTATACCATCTGAAATACCATGAGATTTAGACATAACACAAGGCCATATAGTTGCCAGTATTTCTTGGTTCCAGTTCAAAGAGACAATGAGATGCTATTTCACGAATACTGACATTCTTGTGCTTCACACAACCAGCTAGTAGCACACCCCAGACACTTGCTGTTTCGTCTTGTAACTTCATATTCTGTAACAATCCATGAGCTTCCTCGAGATTTCCAAAACGACCTAAGAGGTCCACCATGCAAGCATAGTGCTCTACACTAGCTTCAACCCCATAATGAAATTTGTATTGACTAAAAGTCCTCCAGCCTTCATCTATTAGACCTGAACGGCTGCAACTAGCCAAAACTGCAGTTAGCGAGACAGATAGGTTTAAGTCCAAAATCTTCCATTTTCTAAAAGTGTCAAGATTCCTCTCCTCTCCCATGAATCCCATAACAAGATATCATTGTTGTCCATGTAACTACATTCAAAATTCGCATGTTCCCTAAAACCTTTCTAAATCACCTAAACACCCACACGTCACTTACATATCAATCAATGAGTTAATAATCACAACATCCCCATCAAATAAACTACTTTTCATCACATTCTTTGTTCATCACATGAATTACGTATCTAAGAAAAAATGGCTAAAGACAGCCAGAATAGGTCATTATCGGAAAGAATGAACATATATGACTAATAGTAATTGGTCAATTTATAAAAACAAATTATCCAATCAACCCTCCTAGTCATGAGATTTGAGATGTAGAAAGGAAACCTCTAATAAACTGAAAAACACAAGAAGTGTTTTTAATGCAATCGATGACAACTCTTCAGAAAACTTAGCAAGAGAATCAAGTTACTCAAAGCTTAGAAGCATGCAAAACATTAAACAATTCAAAGCTCTACTCAAGAGTCAGCATTATAAAAAGGCACAAGCACAAGTCATATTATCCGCATCTAAGCAGCAACAAAACATAATCTAACAACTTTCACACCTTTATCAAGTTAAAGTGGCTCCCCTTAATAGCTACGACTACAACTTCCCATATTTTCCTCTACCACCAACACATAATCCTCCATCCCCTCCAAAAGATGCACCGCCTCAAAACTATCCATCTCCACCAAAAGTGTCCCCACCCCACAACCCTCCGCCACCACACATTACACCCTACCCTCCAAAAGTTCCTCCACCACATCATCCAATTGCACCACCAGCACCATCCCCATTCCCAGTGCCAGCAACACCACCCAATCATCCATTTCATCCACCACCACCCTATCACATTTCTCCACCACCTCATATTATTCCACCTCCACCCCCTCATGTTATTCCACCTCCACCATCAACACCAGGACATCATTCAACTGTGGTAATTATTGTCTTTGTCTCATTTGGTGGTCTATTCTTTCTTGCATTCCTCTCAGTGGCTCCTGTTGCTTCATTAAGAAGAAAAGGAAGAAAACAGTTCAGAAAACTGAAATCTTGGAGTTTGATGAACATACTAAAGTCCAGGAAGCCATTATTCCAGGTCCACGTGGTAAGAAAATCCCAGTACTAAACATTGAAGAGGATGTGCATCTTGTGGAGGAGATTAAGAAAAAGGAAAAACTGACTGAAGGTTCACACATTAAATTGGCACACAATCATTCCCTGGATTCTGATATAGCAACATCCTCTTCTCAGTCCAGTCAGCAGACTCAGGACCATCTCGAGCACAAGGTCTGATTATAAGACAACAAATGAAATAAGTGGCAATTTGATCATATATTTCTCATGAAAAACAATATCCTTACTGGGATGATACTTGAATTTTTTTTTCCCCTTCCCAACTGCCAGTACATCTGTTTGAATAAAAGGAAAGTTTGTTGAATAGTACTACTACGTCATTCACATTAGAAATCCAAACCATACAAAGAAATTAAAATCAGAGCTAGCATTATTGCACTAAATGAAAAGAAATAGAGTAGTCGCTTGTATCCAATAAATATTGACATTATTGTATATAACTGAGGCTGATGTGGTAGTTGGCAGGATACGTATACTGTATCCCCAGTGCGTATTCTAAATTAAGTGGTAATCATGTAACATCGAATTAAGCAAACACTTGGAGGTTTGCATGATATATACTATTATGGCATCTAATACTAGCAGCTGAAAAATGTGTCCTCTCTTATGAGAAATGATTTAGCAAGCTAGGGTCCTACTTTCAAAAACTTGAGTATTTAGTCGATATTAGAAAATAGGGGGCTCCATGACAGTGAGTGGGTAAGATACATGCTCATAATCAGAATTATCATTAGACTCAAACCCACATCTAAATCCTATAAGCACAATGTAAAGGTAGATAAACATTGGGATATTCTGATGATAATCAGAATTATATTCAACAATTCTATCCATAGGGAACAGTGTCAAAGCTGGGCTAGTATTAAAGTATTATCGTCGATTACTTAATGATAGTTATGATACTAAAACATAAAATTGAAATGTTAATCTAGATGAATGATAGCCTTACCTGTTTGGTTGCACTCAAAAACCAATGAACAGCTTTCAGTTAAGATGCAGACCTAACAGTATTTAGATTTCAAAGACAGGGTTGTCCAAGCTTTTCTTCAAAGCTAGTCATACTATTCCATATGTCAGAAGATGCAAAGAACACCGACTAACTGGATCAACTGCAACGCCTGTACATGGCACAATAGATCATCCAATGAATGTGATATCATTATGAATTTATTTATTTAATTTTTTTTTTTTTTTTTACAGAATTGGGCATGAAAGAACATTGATAACATGGATAGATTAAAAATTCGACCAACATCATACTCATTATGAAATAATTATATATATATATATATATATATATATATATATATATAGAATTCAGCATGAAACAAATATTGATAACATAGATAGATTAAAAATTTGACCCCAAAATAAATTGGTAAAATGTTGTAAATACTCCTCACATGCAAGTTTTTCTTATTGTGTATATCTTCTTATATTGCAAAACATGCTTGCAAGAGACTCAATGTCACCTAAATAACGGGAAAAAAAAAATGTTGGCACAGCAATGTTTAAACCTGCAGGTGCAGGGTATTGAGTTTTACAAATTTAGTAGCGCTTACAGTTTGAGTTACTATTCAAAATCATCAGGCATCATTGGCACCTTGATCATTCCATCTAAGGTTTCACATGTCACTTTTGTCAATGGATAATGATGATATCCCTGATAGAATTTTTGTATTCTTCCTGCTATTGTTATCCAGCTGCAACCAGGAGTTTTAGCCAAACCCAATTCTCTCATCTTTGCTCTGGCTATTGCTAAACCATCCAAAATACCATGAGATTGGTAAATATAACACAAGGCTATATAGTTGCTAGGGTTTCTTGGTTCCAGTTCAAAGAGACGATGAGCAGCTATTTCACCAATATTGACATTCTTGTGCATCACACAACCTGCTAGAAGCGCACCCCAGACACTTGCTGTTGCTTCTAACTTCATTTTCTGTACCAATCCAAGAGCTTCCTCAAGATGCCCAAAACGACCTAAGAGGTCCACCATACAAGCATAGTGCTCTACACTTGGTTCCAACCCATAATCTAATTGCATTGAATAAAAAATCCTCCGGCCTTCATCTATTAGACCTGAATGTCTGCAACTAGCCAAAACTGCAGTTAGCGTGACAGGGTTAGGTTGATGTCCAAATTTTTTCATTTTATTAAAAAGTGCCAAAGATTCCTCTGCTCTCCCATGAAGCCCGTAACAAGATATCATTGTAGTCCAAGTAATCACATTCAAACTTCGCATGTACCTGAAAACCTTTTCTGAATCACCCAAGCACCCACACTTTGCATACATATCAATCAATGAATTACCAATCACAACATCCCCATCAAATAAACTACTCTTCACCACCAGCCCATGAATTTCCTTCCCTTTCATCAAGTCACCTTCCCCTCCACAAGCATTCAAAACACTAGGTACCCCCAAAGCATCCAATTTCACCCCTTCCTCAACCATATTCCTAGCCAAAATCAAAGCCTCCACATAAAAACCAACCTTCCCAAACCCTGAAATCATCAAATTCCAAACACCACTATCCCTCCACAACATATTAGAAAACACTCGCTTTGCCTCCACCAATTTCCCAACTTTCACGAAAAAATCCAAAACAGAACTACCCACAACAACATATCCCTCAAAACCAAGTCTAATCACCCAACCATGAAGCACAAATCCCAAATACCAATCTCCCACTCCAGCTACTGCCTTAAACACCGGAGGCAATGTATAATGATCCGGTCGAAAACCCATCATTAAAAACTTATCAAAGACACAAATAGCATCAAAGTAACAAGAACTCTGCGCATACGACGAAATCATAATGTTCCATGAATGCATGTTTCTTTCGGGCATTCTATCGAACAGTTTACGAGCTTCTTGAAGAAACCCAGATTTTGAGTAGGCTAATAAGACATCAGTTTGAAGGGTAACTACGTTGTTAAGGTGGTTATTTACAAGGATTTGGACGTGGGTTTGTTCGGCTTGACAGATTAAAGAGTGAGTGGCACATTTTCTTAGCAGAAACGAGAGACGGTACGCTGTTTTGCTTGACATTTGAGTTCGGCTTTTTGAATGTTTAACGGTCGTGTCTTGAAATAGCGCGAAGAAAAATACGTGGGGATGTGGGTGGTGTCAGGCTGTCAGCTTCTGCATGCATGCATGTATATGAAATGAATAAATAATTTATTATGTACTTTTATCAAATAATAATTTATTTATTTAAAAAAAAGTGTTTTATTAAAGGAAAATAATTTTTCTACATGTTATTAAAATATTGATCAGTTCCATATTTTAATATTTTATCCTAAATTTCTTATGTGATAACTTATTTTGTTGATTTTGCAAAAATCACTTTTTTTTTTTTTTTTACAGTCATTCTAACTTTTTCAGTTGTAAAATCCAATACACATAAGACAAAAACAATTTATCTAAGCATGGTGGTTAATTTCATTTTCGTAATTATGGAAAAATTAAATAAAATTATATTCGTAAATTTTTACATACAGACACAGTCAAGAAAAGATTCGTAAATTTTGGATGGGCACTCTTGCTCCAATTTTATATATCTAACGTGTTGCATATAGTTTTAGTACCAGGAAGTTTTAAAGCCCATGGGCCAAGGCCTTCTCAGATGGCTTTCCACATAATGTGATTTCGAAGGAGTAAATTATAAATCTAGTTTAATTAATCCCTTTAATTTTTTTTAAATAATTATTTAATCTTGATCATGTTTAATTAATATTATTTTATTTTAAAAATATCATATTTTCTCCTCAATCCTTTCATATTTTTTGCTTTTTTTTATTTTTTAAAACAAAAAGTCAAAAAATAAATTAAAAAAAAAAGAACGAAAAGACTTGAGGTTTACGAAAATTTAAAAATATAGGACTATACAATTATTTTTTGAAATAAAATTACTAATTAATTCATTTCTGAAAAATAAAGGGACTAATTTATAAGTTACTCGATTTTGAAGGTACTTGATGTTGCAGTATGTTTGTTAGTGTTAACTAGCTATGAATGGAACTGTAAGAATTTTCTTCTTCATGTTATGGAATTGAAGAAAATTTAGTACTCGAAAATTAAACAAAAATAACTCACTGTTAAAACAAAAAACGGAAAAAAAAAAATTCCTCGATTAGGTCCAGAATCTTTAACTTAATCAAAGGTTAAACTTGAGTAAATTATAGATTAGTCCTTGTATTTTCAAGAAATTAATTAATTAGTTCATCTTACTTCGAAAACTAATTATTTACTTATTTTACCATTTTTAATTTATTATTATTGTATTTCAAAAAATTTCATATTTTAACATCAATCATTCCATAATTTTTACTTTTTTTTCCTTTATATTTTTCTTAGAACACAAAAAAAAAAAAAAGAAGAAGGAATAAGTTAAAAGAAAGTTTAAAAATTAAAGAGCTAAATAATTAGTTTTTGAAAAAAAAATTAACTTGTTTCTTAAAACTAGATGAATTAATTTATAATTTACTCCATTAAACTTGGATGCAACTAATTAGCATGAGAACTTGAAAAAACAAAAAAACGAAAAAAAAAAAAAAACAAAGAAATCAATATTCAAGAATGGAAAAAGATTTAAACTCAATCAAAATAACAACAAAATCATAAATTAATTGACAGAATCTCCTCGTCCCAAAAGCTTGAATCCAAAAGTTCCACCTCTCCTATCCCAGAAAATCCCAATTTCATCTCCTGGATTCAGCCCCTGCATTCGAATCACATCCATAAAACCAACTACATAAGTGTCTCTAATCGGTCCATTCTTCACGTATGCATCCCCAGTCTTAAAACGTTTTCCACTATAGTCAATCAAGATGACCATACTTGTATTCCCCAAGATGACATGTTTAGCCATTTCCAGTGTCCAATACCTAAAAACATGCTCAAACATGTCTTCATGCGATATTAAAATTTTTCCAGTCAAAATTTCTTTGCTTGTAATACACTTCCTGATCTTCCATGGATTCTTGGGGTCCGTGCATAGGGATTGGGCTAGGTATATATCTGTTATTTCCACTAGGGTTCGAGTAACTTGATGTGGCTTGTTGCAAGCAACTGCTGCTTCCTCTTCAGCCTTGGTTGGTAGAAAGTTGTAAGAAAAGGTTTTTTTCATGGTGGCTGCAGGGAAAGAAAAGGTTAGGAAAAAGAATCAAAGTGGGAAGACAAAGAAGTTTGCATCTATTTATAATGCAAGAAAAACCCTATATTACAAGCGTATGGAGCAGTTTCCTTTCTTGAATGATCGTCCCATTGAATGCTGCCTAAAATATTGCAGAGGATGTATTTGGACTCCGTGAGAACTTGGGATTTCCTTTTTCTTCTCATAAAGAAAAAAGGAAAAGGCCGAAGGGGGTTAAGGTTTTGTTTCTACAATAGAAAAAAAGTGCGCCCACAAAAGTCTAATGTCACCTTCCATATATCTTTTGTATCGTGTCCCTCCAAAATTTGACAAAACATCATTTAAAAAAAAAAAAAAATGGAGATAAAAGGCCATCTTGCATTGCATCCATATGTATCATACATGCGTATTTGGGAAAAAAATAGAGAGGAGATAAAATTCCTATACAACATGGACTATCAAAAGTTTTATAGGTTATTGTGGATCAATTGCCATGGGAGTTATTCGCCTCTTGGCTGGCTTATTTGGGATGGGAGTACTAATTGAGCTTGGTGATGGCTGCTTTCCTTCATTCTTTGTTGCTACCCTTTTTTCACTGTCTGCTGCTGTACAACCATTATTTGTGGTTGTTTCAATGATCATGCGCTCTGGTTCCCGAACATCAGGGCTCCTATTCTCGTGAACTGAGTCTTTCTTTTCGTCTATAAAAGATTGAAACATAACACATAAGAAAGGGCCCAAAGTGTGGAATAAATTGATGGACTAGCAAAAGCAATAAAAATGCAGAAACAACAGCAAACCTGCTAAGGAGATGGGCAAACCCAGTTCGTCAATTTCAAATTCCACTAAAGTACAATATCCATCTCGAGAAGACACTGCTAAATACTGACCATTAGATGACCTATTAGCCACAAACATATTTAGTTATTCTGGAATATAAATATCATCACGCATTAATGATCCAAAAGAATTGCAGACGGTGCAGCAGGATCATACAGCACAAAAAAGAAAGGCTGTTGAGCTGTAGAGATGAAAATGAAACTGTGTTGCAGGAAAAAAAAAAAAAAAACTCTATGTTGCAGCTCTGTATGAGCCCTAAGCAGTGGAAAAATATGCATCTAATCAAATCATGCAGAAATGCCCACTCTGCTGTCAGGCTTCAACATCTTCAGAGGAAAACCTGATATATATAGGTGCCATCTTGATGAAATGCACTTTCTCTGATTTTTTCTTCTTTACTAAATTGCAAGGGTGAATACTACATATCTCATATGAACTTAATTTATGTGTACTATCAACTGTTTGCAAGGCAGGCTCTTCAAAGTTCAAACCATATTTAAATTTACCATGCAATATCTGTTATGGCTGCATAGTGAAGACCGGCCAAGATTGCTATTGGAGGAATACTCTCTGTGTCATAGATATATAATGAATTTAAAGTTGCCACAGCAAAAACCAGACGATAGGGAAGCTTGAAGAACCCAACTGCACAAGCAGATAAAGATACCCAGCTTAATATTTACTTTTTGCTGGGATGCAATACATTCAGTAAAAATCAATAAACTTGACTAATACCTGAGCCTAATCTCCTAAGGTTAAATGCAACAGGACAAAAACGAACTGCCACAACAGGCTTGCTGGCACCAGGGAGCAGTAATGCAGGTCTGCAGATCAAGATATACATAAATTAGGACATAAATAAAAAGAAAGGAAGACAAAGAAGAAGTCTTCTTAAACTTTATTTTGTTATTTGAAATTACAATATCAAATTTCTTTAGCTGATTATCAACCGAGGGTATTAGGCTTGTTTCCTGATATGCAATAGATCCCAGAACTCAACTTAGTTAGACATAATTAACAAAAAATGATAAATTGATGCACGTCTTGCCTTGAAAGATCTGTTCTGGAAAATACATAAGCAGTATTTACTGTTTCCAATGTAGCTGACATTTTGTAAGAACCTGCAATGCAAAGGAAGCTATGTCAACAGATATAATTATTGCAAATATAGTAAGTCAACTATAGAGCTGTCAATTATAGGGCTGGTTGAGGAGCTGATTTCTAGAAAGTTAATGACAGCTTGATTCTAGAGATTTAGATTGATCCTAGACCAGTATATATACATGTTGTACTCATGCACTTCAAGAAGTGGAAATATCTATTGCTCTTTTCTACATGGAATCAGAGTTGCTGCCCTAATTGAGCAACTGCCGCTGCCGCCCTAGTGAGCTACCACATTTTTTTCTTTTCGCTGCTGCCCTAGTGAGCCGCCGCAACCTTGCTGCCCTATTTTCTTTTTTCTTTTTTTTAATGGCTGACAAAACAGAGAAGAAAACTGTGATATCCGATGTTACTACAACAACAAAGATTATAAAACATAAACTCAATGGACAATTTTTTAAATTGGAGTAAAACGATGCACATGAATCTACGGAGTATTGATCAAGACGATCATCTTAATGATGATCCCTCAATTGATGATGTGAAAAAGAAGGCTTGACTAAGAGCGAGTTGCCAAAGTATATTTGTAGATTCAAACTCTATTAGTAGTGAGATAATTGGTCCGGTTAGTCACCGTGAGTTTATTAAAGATCTTATGGATTATTTGATATTTTTATATTTTGATAAAGGTAATCTTTTTCATATTTATGATGTATGTAAAGAGTTCTATCATCCATAAAAACAGGATAAAACCCTTACTAAATATTTAATGAATTTCAAGCGAGGTTTATGAGGAGTTGAATTCTCTCCTTCCTTTTGGTATTGATATGAAGGTTTAACAATCTCAACGTGAGCGAGATGACTGTCATGAGTTTTCTTGTCGGCCTACCACTTGAATTTGATGCTGCTTGCACACAAATTCTTTCTAGTCCAAAAGTTGTCTCTCTTCATGACACATTTACTAAAATCTATCGTATAGAGACATCTTAACCTTCTCCTGGCATTACTAGTGCTCTTGTGAACCAAGGTAGTTGGAATGCGGGAGATTAAGGAGGTCGAAGTGGTAGAGGTGGCCAAAATAATTTTGGGTTTCGAGGTGGTAGAAGTGGTACATATGGAGGAAATGGAAGTCACGGATCGAATGATCAAAATAGCCCAATAATATGCTATTTTTGTGAAGATCTTAGTCATATAAGACATTCATGTTGAAAACTTCATGAAAAAACCCAAAAGTCAGTTCATACCGCAAACTTTGGAACCCAAAAGGCTAGTCTTGCCTCTTCCTCATTTGAGAAGTCTATAAAAGTGTCTGCTAATGACTTTGCTCGGTTTACTCGGTATCAATCCTCGCTAAAGTCTTCAATCCACCTCCAACTACCAATGATGAGATAGGTAAACCTACTACATATCTTTTGTCATCCTCTTCCAAATGGGTCCTTGATTTAGGTGCTACGGATCACATGACGAGTAATAAAGATATTCTTTCCTTTTTTGTTTCACACAAATTCCTAGTGTCACCGTAGCTGATGGGTTAACCACATCTATTATAAGAATTGGAACAGCTCTTCCTACATCATCTCTCTTTGTCACATGTCTTATGTTTACCTAGTTTTTCATTTAATCTACTATCGATCAGTAAAATCACTCAAGCTCTCAATTATTGTCTTATTTTTTGCTAACTATTGTCTATTTCAAGATCTTACGCCAAGGAAGATTATTGGTAGAGGACCCGAGACTAAAGGGTTGTATCATCTTTAACCTATATTATAACCTATACCACGACCTATCGTTTGTTCTAATATTATAACATCTCTTGAGTTGCATTGTCGGTTAGGGCATCCTTTTTGTTTGTTTTAAAGAAATTATTTACTCAATTTTAGAATTTATCTCGCTTTAGAATGAGTCATATCAGTTTGTTAAACACCATCATGTGTCGTATTTTCCTAGAATCAATAAACGGATTATGTCACTCATTGAGTTAATTCATGCCGATGTTTTGGGTCATTGTCAATTAGGGAATCCTTCATTGTTTGTTTTAAAGAAATTGTTTACTCGGTTTTAGAATTTATCTACTTTAGAATATAAGTCATGTTAATTTACTAAACACCATAATGTGTCGTATTTTCTTAAAATCAATAAACGGGTTATGTCACCCTTTGAGTTACTTCATTCCGATATTTGAGGTCCATGTCCAATGATTTCTACAACTGATTTTCGATATTTTGTCACATTTATTGATGATTATTCTTGTGTTATTCGGTTATATTCAATGAAAAGTAGATTTGAATTGTTCTTTATATTTTGTGCTTTTTGTGTTGAAATTTAAACTCGGTTTAATGTTTCGGTACGTGTTTTGAGAAGTGATAATACAAAAGAGTATTTCTTTGAGTCATTCAATACCTATATGATATAAAATGAAATTCTTCATCAATTATCATGTATTGACAAACCACCTTAACATGGCGTTGCTGAACGAAAAAATAGACATTTACTCGAGGTTGCTAGAGCCCTTCTTTTCTAGATGAAAGTTCTTAAACAATTCTAGGCCGATGCCGTGTCCGTAGCATGTTTCCTAATCAATCAATTACCATCCTCTATTCTTGTCGGTGATACTCTTCATTGTGTTTTATTCACTTCTCAATCTTTATTTCCAATCGAACCACATGTCTCCGGTTGTACGTGTTTTGTTCGTAATGTTGATCCTAAAGTGTTTCCAAAATCTCTTAAGTGTCTTTTTGGGGTATTCTCGTCCTCAAAAAGGTTACGGATGGTATTCTCCTACTTTGAGTTGTTATTTGATTTCGACTGATGTAACATCTTATGAGACTACATTTTTTCATGAACCTACTATATATAATTGGGAATGGGAGGAAGATGATATTCGATATATACCGTAACTACAACTACCGAATCTCACTCACAAGGGCACAACTGAATCTCATATACTCATTAAGACACCTATCATCCAAGTTTACTCTCCACATACTCATCCACGAGATCTACAACCAAATCGGGACTCACATCCTCTCGCTAGCTCTTCCCTTTACGGACCCTAATCTTGATCTTCCAATGGCTCTTCGTAAAGTTAAATGGCAATGTTCTTACCTATTTCTTCATTTGATTCTTATGACTACTTATCGCCTTCTTTGGATTGCTTTATTGTTTCGTTACATTCAATTTTTGTACCTAAAACATTAAATGAGGCCTTGTCCCATCCTATTTGGCGAACTGCTATGAAGGAGGAAATGATGGTTTTAAATAATAATGGTACTTGAGAATTGGTGCATCTCCCAAAAGGTAAACAAACTATTGGTTGTAAATGGGTGTATGTTGTCAAGATTAATCATGATGATTCTATGGCTTGTCTCAAAGCTCAATTAGTTGCAAAAGGATATGTTCGGACATATGGTATAGATTATTCGATATTTTTTCTCCGATTGCCAAATTTGCATATGTCCGTTTGTTTCTCCTATTAATGATTGGCTCTTACATCGGTTAGATATCAAAAATGCTTTCCTTCATGTTGATTTGCGGGATGAAGTCTATATGAAGCAACCATTTGAGATTGTTGCTCGGGAGTATGGAAAAGTCTCGTAAACTTCGAAGGTCTTTGTGTGGGTTAAACTAAAGTCCTTGTGCTTGGTTTGGATGACTAAATACCGTAGTTCGAGAATTTGATATGAAAAAGAATACTTGTGACCATATTGTTTTCTACCAACGGTTGAAAACTAATATTATCTTATTAATTGTATATGCTGATGATATTGTGATTATTGATAGTAATGATACTAGTATTTTAGCCATTAAGTCTTTTCTCCATACCAAATTCCAAATTAAAGACTTGGATTTATTGAAGTATTTCTTGGGTATTGAAGTTACTATGTCCAATAAGGATATTTTTCTTTCTCAACGAAAGTATATTCTTGATCTACTGAAAGAAACTGAAAAATTAAGAGCTAAACCTTCAAATATACCAATGGCTACTAATCTACAGACTTATAACGAGATGATGAGAAGTTATTTGCTGATCTTAAGAGATATTGCAGGTTAATTGGAAAACTAAATTATCTCACAAAAACTCATCCACGCATTGCATATCATGTCAGCATTGTGAGTCAGCTTATATCCTTTCCTCGAGTTGCTCATTGGGTAGCATTAGAACGGATCTTATGTTATCTCAAAGGAACTCCAAAGTGTGGTTTACTCTATAGTAATCATGAATATTCCAATATTGAGTGTTTTTCATATGCAGATTGAGCTGGATCTAAGATTCACGGAAGATCTACAACAAGGTATTGTGTCTTTGTTGGCGAGAATTTGGTGTCATGGAAAAGCAAGAAACAAAATGTTGTGTCTCGATCTAGTGCAGAATCATAGTATAGAGCTATGGCCCAATCCACGTGTGAACTTGTGTGGATATCTCAATCGTTAAATGAGATTGGTCTTAAAAATCCTCTTCTTATGAAATTGTGGTGTGACAATCAAGCTACTCTTCATCGCATCAAATCTAGTTTTTTATGAAAGAACTAAGTACATCGAGATCGATTGTCACTTTATTCGTGATAAAATTCGATAAGGATTAGTCTCTACAAGTCATCAAAACTAAAGTACAACTAGGCAATATCTTCACCAAAGCTTTAAAGAGTCCTAGGATTGATTATATTTGTAACAAACTGGACATGATTAACATCTATGCTCCAACTTGAAGGGGCGTGTTGTAAATATAGTAAGTCAACTATAGGGCGGTCAATTATAGGACTAATTGAGGAGCTGATTTCAAGGAAGTTAAATGACAGCTTAATTCTAAGGATTTAGACTGATCCTAGACCTATATATATACATATTGTACTCATGCACTTCAAGAAGTGGAAATATATATTGTTCTATTCTCATGTTTCTATAATCAGCAACAAGTAGCAGCAGCAACATCAAATATGTTTCCTTTGGTGGAATTAATGCAAGCAAGAGACCCAGCATTAGTTCATGAAATGAATAAGGACAGTACAAGATTTTGTGCCCGTGTTTAGAAACAATAATAAAGAAAACATGATGGATTTTAACTCAGATGGACTTTTGTTTAGGTCCATACCTGCTGGCACAAGTAAAAAGGATCCATCAGGTGACCAGGCTAGTCTTCGAAAGAAAGATGGTAATGTTTCATCATGAAAAAGATGTGTTTTTGCAGACTGCATCCCAAAACAAGTACAAGGCTTGTAACATGTTAGGCACAAATAATCAATAACAAACACAGACAATCACTCTATTGTCTGAACTTCGAATCATTTACCGTCAGTTGTTCCGTCTTTGCAATGACATGCTGAGAAACATAATTTATCTTCTCGGCACCTTTTGTTTTTGTCTGAGGCTTATTGACATAAATTCTGCAAGTTCTATCTGAACTAAGAGAAGCAGCATACTTGGACAATGGATCCCAAGCTACACCTTGAACATAATGGAAATGACCTTCCAATAGCTGATGTACCGAACCTAAAACCAAGACATAGGCAATCAAAAAATCAAAGACCAAAGCTGCTTAATTGTTATGCACATTAGTCATGTTTTCGTCTTCCTTGCCTTTGTTAACATCCCATATGATGCAAGAATTGTCGACTGATCCAGAGATCAGATATGCACAGTCTGTGGACCACTGCAAGTCCAGAACATCCTTGCGGTGAAATCTGCATGAAAAATCAAAATCATTAACGATCAAAGAAGTGGGCAAATACCCAACCAAAGATCCTGCAAGGTTTCAAATGGGAATTTTCACAGATGAAAAGAATTAAAAACTTCATACAAATGAAAAGGCATACAACAAATCCCAATGATCAAACCAGCATCACTATTTTCTTCAACAGTTTTGAACTCTATGATTTAACCCATTCCATCTAGCACAAACCCAACAAACTAAATCTAGTAAATGCATGGCCTAACTACACATGGAAGTTTCGGAATGTATATGATGAAAGTGCTTACGATAAGTTCTTGAGGACTTTCCACGTTTGACTGGTTTCCATAGAATGTAACTTCCATATGATCAGCTCTCCTTCTGCAGGCAGAACAATGAATATAAGATTACATCACTTAATCAACTAAATAAATAAACAGTCATATTTCATCCTGAGAGGAAAACAGTCACTGTAACTTAAAATCATACCACCAGCACCAGAGGCAAGTAAGTCTCCTGCAAGACATAAACAAATGAAATTATCACTTTAATTAAAGAAACGACATCCATAGCAACGAGAAAGTAGATAATTAACACTAATTACTTGCTAAACATAAAATCACAATTCTGAAAAACATCATTACAATCAGTAAGTCTTACCGGACGGAGAGAATCGGAGCACATTGACAGCTGACCCATGATAGGAAAGGCTATTTTGATAAGTAGCCGTTGCAATTTTCTTCTGTGCTTGGCCTGAATTTAGCACCCAAAGCTGCCCCAAAAAAAAAAAAAACACTTAAGCTATAGCTCAGCTCCAACTTCAATTTCTGCCATGTTTGGTTCCATTTTCAATAAATGCCTAGCAAAAAAATTAAAAAGAAAATAAAATTGCCTATAGCCACACACATTTCGCAATGTGGGACCCACTGGGCTGCTTCATTTTGTCATACTAAAACACAAAAATGCAGGAAATGAAAAAAATAAAAACTTTTGATATTTTAGTTTAAAGGAAGATCCAAACAGGCCTTAATTTTTTTACTTTCACTGACAGCAGAAAAATAAAATTAAACAGAAATGAAAGGCGAAAAAATAAACTTAATTAGCAAGAATAGTGAAATAGAGTGTACCTTGATGTCGTAATCGGCGCCGCCAGTGGCGAGGAGACCCGAGATTGGGTGAAAGTCTAGGGTTAGGACTGGTTTTGTGTCGTGCCAATTTATTTGCACTGTTCCTCCCTTCATTTCTTGTGGGTTTTCTTTTCTTTTCTATCTCTTGTTCGTTTCTAGGGAAAGTGAAAGAAAATTTTTTAGGGTTTATTTTTTTGGTGTAGAGAAAGAGAGGAAAGGAGGGAGGCAGGGTTTTTTAGCGGGATCTTGGTTTTGATTTGGCGGGAAATGGGTGGCTGCTTCAGAGTTGAAGCTTTTAGAGGATGTAGTTCGTTTTTGTCGCTACGTGGCTACAGAATTTTTTTTTTTTTTTTTTTTTTGCAAAGGATTATTATCATGTGTCGATTTTCCAGAAAAAAAAAAAAAAAAAGATTTGAAGGGTTGGCTGTGCAAATACTGTAGCCTCAGACCCATTTGGAAGGTAGATTCAAATTCGGTTTTTTTTTTCTCTCTCCTTTTTTTGGGCGTATATTTTACAAAATTTTACAATATAATTTCCCTCTTTCTTATAATTTTTACTTTAATCTATCGCTTTCTTTATGATACATTTTAATCTCTATATACAAAGATGAGAGAGAAAATAAAAAGAGAAAAAGAAAAGAAAGAAAGAGTCGATCAAATTTATTTCGATTATTTTTACGAAGAATATTTTATCTAATTATTTATTTTCAAGAGAAGAGTTTATTTATGATGATTTCAAGCTATCTAATGATTCGAGAGTATCAATCGAAGCAAAAAAAAAAAAAAATCTTTTTGATTTTATTTTTAATGTAAATTAAAATATTTTTTAAGCTTTACCTTATTTTTGTTATTTTGAAATGTTCGAAAGAAAAAAAATATTGCCAAAAATAAGGCTCACAAATCTAGAAAAACAAATTTCTTTTTATTATCTTGTTGATTAAAAATTCTCCACAAGTGAAGATACATGGATTTAGTGATTAAAAATATTTACTAGTTAGTTTGATTTTTTTTAAAAAAAATTCGAATATAGAGACTGATTTGAAGTGAATCCTTAAAATTATCTATAAAAAGGAATTTTGAAAATACTCGTTAGAGTACATTTAAGTACAAAACAGATGAGGAGTTCAAAGCAAAGAAGCTCAACAGCGAAAGAGCAGTTCAACACGAGCAGCGAAGCCTAACTGCCTAAGTCTAGTTCACAATATATATATAATGAAAAAATATTAAAAATGATTTTTATATAAACAAACTATGATCTAAATATTGAAAGATGATTAAATTTAAATAGCTCAATATAAATTAATAAAATATCAAACATAAAAAAATGAAGAGAGAGTTCAAAGTTAACTTAAAAACTAAATTAATTAGTCCAACATTGAAAAAAATATATAAATATATAGAAATAAAGAGAATTTAATATAAAAATATTATTAAATAAAAAATTGTCTTCACTGCATAAAAGTATTTTGATATTTAAGGATTTGTTATTTTAATTTAGAAAATATAAAAATTAGACATAGGTAAAAAAAAAAAAAAAAAAAAAAAAAAAAAAAATCCATATACCAATGCGAAATGGAACGATACACAGATGATCGGTACTTCTCGACCGGTATTTGGTCGGAAAAAAAAAAAATTAATGTCTTCAACTTTTTTATAGCAATTAAGTTTTGCAACCTTTACTTCCAATTATACAATTCTAACTCTTACAAGAATTTATTATTTTCACTTACAACCATAAAATTTATATTTAATTATAAGTATACTTGCAGCTTCCCATAAATGCCACAGAAATTAAATTAAATTAAAATAAAATGGAAGTCCAGGTACTTATTAGTCTAGAAAAAAAAATCATAAAGCAGTCGGTGATCATCATTCTAAAGCACCAGAACGTTATGGGTATTCTGCTTTTTTCCTCTAGCTTTGGTCAGAAAAGAAAAGTAATGGAGCCCTGGATATCGGCAAAGGTGAGAAGATGAGTTTGGCCAATTTCTTTTTCATAGTGCAGGTAGATTTGTTCCAAATAATGCCCCATGATAATGACTTCTTTTATTTTATTTTTTTCGAATCTCAAGTAAAGATTCATATTAATTCTTCGTTATTTAATCAAACGTATAAGATGAGTATAACTATTTAAAAAATTTTTTACATATAAAAAACTCAAAATCGAAACCATTTATTTAAATCATTAAAAAAAATTTCATTCAAATCAATTCTATAATGACTTCTGTTTTATTGATGCAGGTTTTTACATTGCAATTATTGCTTGTAAGATTAGTACAAGCACTTCGAACAGTCTAGTTAGATGCAGCATAGATAGATTACTATGATTTTCAACATTTGTAGTCAAAGAACTTTGTTGAAAGACTTGATAAGGAGGAATATGCAATATTACAAAAGAACTACTTAAACTATTATTTAGAACACCTAGAGGTTTAATTTGGTAAGGTTTATAAGTTAGCATGTGAATATGCCTTCAATTCTACGTTATCATTAAAGATTCAAATTTTAGGAAAAATTACAAATAATAACAATAATTTTTTTTATTAGGGTACTCTAATGAACGTAGATGATCTCTTAATACTCGATATAGAAAAAAAGTTGGTCTATAGACAATTTTCCCACTGAGATTAAAAGAATATTAATTAGCAATAGAGAGATCGAAGTTTTAAAATCATGATATACATTTTTTAATCGCACCAAATTTGGCCAATCTAGGCAAACTATTTGCAAGAATTTTTCTTGATTTAATTCGTAGCATCCGAGCCTAGAAATTCCTAAATTCATACAAGAAATTAAGTATTAAGATTATAATGGAAGGTGAGTATGCGCACTGAAAGAAAAATCACAAATATTAATTAGCAAAGAGATCTGCATTAAAAAGTGGATACAAATCACCAACCAAGATGGTCAATGATTCCCAGAACCACATCACAAATATGCTTCAAACCAGCCTCTCTACGTGCAAGCTCAGAAGGATAAGCCAATCCAGGGTACCTTCTAAACGCATTACGACAAGCATTTGGATAATCTGAGGCACCCATGACATGCATATAAGCGTAGTCAAAGGACTCTGTGCCCAAATCTCGAACTGAATTTTGAAGGGCATCGGCAGCGTAACTGTACTTGTCTGCACATTCTTTTAGTACCTTCTTCAAGATAGGATCATTTGGTGTAGTGCTAAACAACTGAGATGACAAATAAGACGATGTGGCTGTGGCATTAGCCATTCCAACACCGATCATGATGATTGCTAGACCTTTGGTGTCTGCTTTTGTGCTCGTGGCATTACGTTTGAGAGATGAGACACAGAGGTCGTAGTACTTGGTGTTCTTGCAAGTTTCTTGGATCAATCTCATGTCCCCATTAACAAATACTATTGGTTGATGAAAAATGCAGTGAGGGAATGCTAGAGAGAGAAGAAGGAACAAGAAAATTGTTGAGCCCATTAGAGAGTTGTGACCAAAGTGTTGAAAGTTTGATATTAGTCTCTCTGATTTATCGGGTGAGGAGAAGGGAAAGAGGGAGAGGTACTTGAGAATTGAAGCCAAGCGTAGGCAATGGTCACTTTCCTTTCTTTAATAGCCCTTATAATTGAGAATCCAAGAGGTTGTTTTGACTTGTGTTGCATATAATTTTGCATAATTGTACGCAATGAGTTGTTTTTGTAGTTTGTGCTTTATTGACTGTATAGGGCCTAGCTTGGCTGGTAGCATGCAATTTATAAGCTCTTTTCCTATTTGGCTGGTTCCCAACTGCCAGAGCAAGCGTTCACGGGTAAGCCAATAACACTGTCTTGGCCTGACCCTCATTTCAAGGCTGGTTTTGAGTTCTGCTATCTGTTTACAAATGCCGCCAATATCTTGAGTCTTGGCACTTGACAAGTTTGCAGAGATTCCGAACCAACCAATTATTGAATTCCACAAGCCTCTCTGGATCCATTTATCTCTTAAGGATTGGTATCATAATTGAGTAAGCCTGGTCTTCGATGTAACAATCTAGAAGGGTTGGTCTAATGGGGATCTAGAGTATTATTCTGATATAGAGTATTATTCCCTCTATTTTTTACGTTCTAATCTAGACATTCATACCGAGATCATTTTATTTATCAAACGAACTAGATCTAGAATGTGTTTTTAAAATTAGTCGAAGAAAAAATTTGGTCTTGATTAGTATATAATTTAGTTCTAGAAAAAATCATAATCGTAAAGAAAAGTATTTGTTGTGACTATTTCATTTAAATCGTATATGATCTATGTTAATCAATATGACTTGTTTATAGTTTTAAATTATAAACACGGTTGAAAAATGATCGTGGTTATGATCGTTGGTTGCAGCTTATGGTAGTAATAAAATAACAATTGCAACCATTATATAATACCAAATAAATATAATTGAGTACTTTGAAATCGTTACATTCTATGGACGTATTAATGTTTATGATCACGGACCACCTAGATGAGGCAATCACCATAGAAATCACTTCTATAACAATCCTCATTGATTCTTAGTGATTTCTTACATGACAACTTAATTACCTTCTTATACGCTTCGATTATGAGATACATAGTTTGACTCTACATGTTGGGAAGAAATATAATCAAGAAACAACACATTTTAGAAGTAACTAGACCATATTAAGTACTAGTACTAATGTTATGTTTCAAGTTAAAAGTATCTTTGGACATAAATTGGTTTCATCATATACATTCAAAAGGTTCAATCCTAGTGTGAAAAATGTTATGAACCATTTTGTTTGAGAGCGATAATTGAAAGCCAGCAATTTTGTGCAGTGTCATTATAATTTTTTGGTTTCTGCAGTTTTACTTTGGACGAATCTTTATGACAAAATGTTGAACCATTCTCTTAATATTCAATTAACCGGAACTTGTTGTCAATGTAGATAATGTTTTAAAGTTGGAAAAATTAATCGATACTCAATGTTTTGGAAGCATGCAGCTCCTTGGCATCATAAAAGAAAGACACAGTGGAGGGAAAAAAATACACCAAAAAACACAGGAAAAGAACATGTGAAACTTTGATTTACTTGTACATGCCAGAAACAGGCAGTTATTTGCTATGTGCAAGGAACGAAATTATACAGAAACTCAAAACAACTTTCTGTAATTAACAATCTAAAACATGAATTTTAGCACTGTTTGTTTTCTGCCTGAAGAGAAACTAGATCAGTCTTCTTTTATGCATCCATACGGATGATACACCTGAGGCCAGCTCCACTAAGCATGTACTCAAAAGCCTTGTTGATTTCAGAGAAAGGGACTTCATGAGTAATAAATTTCTCTAGCTCCAGCTCCTGTCACATAACAACTACTGTGGTTAAGAATTTAATAGAATGCATCAAGGTCAAAGAAAGAAAAAGTACTGATTTCTTTCCTGTGACAAGGGTTGAGGATTTTCATTTTCATGAAGTAATAATGACCATTTAAGCCGATATTTTGACAAATTTTACCTTTAAATTCCCTACAAGAAACACTTATAGAGGCCTTGTTCATGCACTTTTCGAAACACTTGTTCTTGTTTAAGCATGGAAATATGTGTGTACTGAATAAGATTAGTGGGAAATCAGATTTACCTTGTTCATGTACTTTTCGACAACAGAAGGAAGGTCGGAGCGCGGTTTATAGTTGCCAAAGAAGGTACCCTTGAGAGTCCTCTCATTCAGGAAATTCATTGGATGGGTTTTAAAAGAATCATCTTTGTTTGGCACGCCAACAAGTACAGCCACACCCCATCCCTGCAAAGGAGGAAAAAAGAAAAAAAAATGTTAAAATTTTAAACATATTAATTAAGCTGATTCATTTTTACTTTCAATTCAATGCCTAAATGGATTTAGTAGAAAATTACATCATGGACGCATTCAAATGCAGAAATCATGGCATTGATACTTCCAGTGCACTCGACACTTCGGTCAACTCCTCCATTTGTCATTTCAGCTATCACCTAAAGACAGTAAATCAAAATTAGGACAGACGTAAAGGATTCACAGATGCTAGTCTCTCAAAACATGATTCACTGTCTCACTTACCTCTTGAACAGGCTTGGTATAATCTTTTGGGTTCACAAACTCTGTGACACCGAATTTCTTGGCTGTTGAGAGAACACAAATGAACATCAGAAAGCAGTTATTAACTCCAAGAACAAACATTAAATTTATCAGTTTCGTGATATTAGCTATTAGACTGAGTTAAATATCAATCAGTAATTTAATTAGAGGAATATTCAGCCGCTAGAATCAGTCACATTATAGCTTCTCTTACCTTCATCGAATCTATTGGAATTCAGATCAACACCAATGATTCTTGAAGCACCAGCAATTCGAGCCCCTTCAGCAGCCTAGATTATGTAAAACAACAAAAACAAGTTTGCATTAATTAGTGCTAGCTGCAGCATCAATAGGAAATTGCTGACTAATCTAGTAATATAAACTAACTTACAGCAAGGCCTACAGCTCCTAGTCCGAAAATGGCTACCGATGAGCCTTTCTTGGGTTTTGCAACGTTCAAGGTGGCACCAAGACCTACAAGTCAAAACAGACATCCTCATAATTACAAGAAAGCGACAAATTCCTCATTAACATGATAAACTTCGAATTTTGTATTTCTCCAACCTGTAGAGATTCCACAGCTGAGGACACAAACTTTGTCAAGAGGAGCTGCGGGATTGATCTTGGCAACACAGCCAACATGAACCACAGTGTACTCACTAAAGGTTGAGGTACCGACAAAGTGATAAATAGGCTGCCCTCTAATTGAAAACCTGGATTTTCCATCATTCAGCATCACACCTCTGTCAGTGTTAATCCTAAGAAGATCACACATATTGCTCTCCTCTGATTTGCAATGTTGGCATTCCTTACACTCTCCTGTGAAGACGGGAAGCACATGATCACCAGGTTTGAGTTCTGTCACTCCCTCACCAACACTCTCAACAATCCTACACATCCAAAAAAACAAAGAAATATCAAATTAGTCACCCCAATTCCTTATTATCAAAATAAAGAATAGTTCGTCTAAGTACAAAAAAGTAATGGACTAATGATGGCTCAAATTCATACCCTCCTGCTTCGTGACCAAATATGCGAGGAAACAATGGGGTTTGCCCCTGTAATTTGACAAATTAACCATGTTAATTATAGTGTCAATCTCTAAAAATACAACTAAAACCCCAGATTGTGAAATCAAATCGAAATAGAAAATGTGAATCACCTTGGCTTCCCAGAAGTAAACATCCGTATGGCAGAGGGAGGTGAAGAGGATCTTCAAACGAACCTCCATAGCTTGAGGAGGAGCGACCTCCACTTCTTCAATCACTAGTGGCTTCGCAGCTTCCCATGCCACAGCAGCTACAGATTAAGCAAAACACATTCAGTTATTGCCAAAAAAACAAAATGGCAACAGCACAAAGAACAAATCACAAACCCCAAAAGGAAAAAAGAAAACAGTATCATAAACTTTCGAGGTTACCTTTGCAACGTATGACTTGACCAGCAGCGCTTGACATATTCTTTCTTGTCTTAAACGAACTTCTTTTAAGGCTTCTTTGATTACTTTGCTCTGTTTCTTGAGTTGTGAAGAGACAGGTTTGTCTTCGTAGGTATTTATAGCAGCAGAAGTATGCATGTGTGTGATGGTTGACCACCAATTTGAAGAATTTTAAAGAGAAAACCGTTTGCGATCACTGTTGTTTTGTTTGTCCTCTGTATTCTCTGTAGGCAACCAGCGGCTCCCCTGTTTCTGGTTTTCTAGCGTTCTTTACTTTGTCTCTATTTTGGGATAATTACAAATCAGTCCTCCGTATGTTATACATGTTAACTCAATCTGCTAACAATTAGTGCAAATTTTTATCACCCAAGTATCACAGATTTTCTTAACAAAAAATGTATCAAATTTAATAATTTTTCTACATAAATTTTATAATACACCAGTAGTAACTAAGTAACATATACAATAGTTACTCCATGGATCCACTTTGAGAAGAGAAATAGACATACAAAAAGAAAGAGAGAAACATAAGAGAGAAAATAAAAAAATCGAGCAGACGTAGTAAATCTTCTTAAGACTTTTGATGGGTATCGATATAATTTCTATCTTTTTTATGTGTCTATCTCTCTTCTCAAAGTGAATCCATGAATAACTATCAGTACATACCACTAATTAATCTTGATGTATTATAAAATTTCTCCTCTTCCTATGCTCGAGATTTTTTAAAAAGAAAGAAAGAGAGAGCTTTGTTGTTTTGCAAACATTTGGTTGAGATCACAATTTTCTTAGACTAACTATAGTTTCTAGAAGTTTTAATTTTTAATTTTTTAAAATTTATGTGATAAAAGGTCTCAATCGATATCTAGTAGTTCTTGACACCCAAAAATAATGACATGGTAGGAAATTGATTTTTAAGGGATTGATAGTTTGATGGTTAAGTTGCAAAACGATTAATTAGTTTGACATTTAATTGAAATCTCTATCATGATTGAAGGATTGATTTGGGATTTTTTCTTTTTGTTTTTAAGTCTCCTGTTGCGGTTTTGCGGCTTGTTTCCGATTTTACTAACGGTGTTGACCTTTCAGAATCTTGTAATACAGCTCGAATGACAGAACTAGATAAATCCTTCTTATTAATTTCTGATGAAGTGGGAGCTGCCAAAAAAATTTGTTTCATGGAAAGAGACACAGCCATATTTAAACTGCTTCCACTTAAGAATAAATATTTTAAAAGTAATTATTAGGTCTTCTTTAAGCAAAATTTATTTGAAGCTTATCAAACCAATCTCTTTAATATATTTTAAATACAAAACATGTACACAGTAGAATACCTAAATCTATTCTTACATGATTTCAAGATTTTGTACTGGATGAAACTGTTTTCTAATCAATCCTATGTATATATTGTATAGTTTGGATTCATATAAAAATTAACAAAAATTACATAGATTAAAATATAATAAAATAAAATAAATTACTTAATTAATTTTAGAGAAAAATTGAACACATACACACTTTGTAGCTAGGACAATTAACTCCCGGTCGTAAGTTTTTTTTTTTTTTTTTTTTTTTTTTTTAAGAATTGCGGATTGTGAAGTGTTTTTAATATAAAATAATTTTTATTTCATCTAGGTATTAAAATCATAGCATTTTCAAATAACCATATAAAGTTTTATAATGTAAATACATACATATGTGAATTTTAAAATGATAAAAAAAAATTTAATAACCTAGACATAAAGATTACTATAATGATTATCTCGTGTCGGTCTTGTAGCTCTATAATACCAGTCTAAGAAGTGCAATAAAATTCATGATTAAAAGATACTCTTCAATACATGACATCAGAGATTCTGAAAATGAATTCTAAGAAATGTTAACCATAAGGGTCGAACTCTTGACTTAGCTTATAAATCGATGCTTGTTTACAAATGAGCTATCATCTTGTGATTCCAGCCTAAGATATCTTAGCATCCCATGCTAATAGGTCTATTGACATGATAATGAATAAGTTAATAAATTGATTATCACGTTAATTAACTGATATGCTAATAAAATAATCAAACATATCAATATATCACATCAATAAATATGATAATCAAAATATTGACTTATAGATGTTCTTAATCATAGAACTAACAGCATGTCCCACATCAACACCAGCAGCCACACGGTACTTAAGAATAATTGGTTAAACTACATTAACACGCTATTGAGAATTACATTCTTTTCTGATCTAAAGCTTAATTTTACGCTTAATTTTGCACTAATTTAGACTCTCTACTTTTATTTGTACTAATTTCGACCTTTTACTCTCCATTCAGTAATTAGTTATTCCTCTTGTCCACTACCATTACAAACCGTGTTAATCATGTCAGCATCTGGTATGTTTTAAACATCAATATTTTGACTAGTCTGTGAGTAATCGTCCAGTAAAATAAGAGTAATGTAGCCCGTTGTGAATGAATGAATGTAAACATAAGAGATAGTTGGAGTGTTTTGCGGCTTTTTTCCAATTTTACTAATGGCGTTGACCTTTTAGAATCTTGGAATACAGCTGGAATAATAGAACTAAATAAATCCTCCTTATTAATTTCTAATGAAGTGGGAGCTACCAAAAACCATTGTTTTATAGAAAGAGACACGGCCATATTTAAACCGTTTCCACTTATTAATAAATATTTAAAAAGCAATTATTTGGTCTTCTTTAAGCAAATTGTATTCCCAACTCATCTAATCAAATTTTTAATATATTTTAAATAGAAAACATGTGCATCAGTTCTCGTAGAATACTTTGATCTATTCTTGCGTGATCCAAAATTTTTTACCGGACCAAAATCTCATTTGTATGTTGTATGGTTTGTACTCATATCAAAATTAACAAAAATTACATAGATTAAAACATAATAAAATAAATTAAATTACTTAATTAATTTTAGAGAAAATTTTACATATACAGACTTTGGATCTAGAACAATTAACTTGTACTAGTAGTAAGTTTTTTTTTTTTTTTCTTTCAAAGAATTGCTGTTTATGAAGTGTTTTTAATATAAATTAAATTTTTGGGTCTTGTAGCACTCTCTCTCTTATATTTATATATATCCGTTTAACAATAAGTTTTCGAATCAATTTTTATGTATTTCAAGATTAATCTCTCTATATGCATGATTAAATGACACTCTCTAATGTATGGCCTCGATTATTCTGAAAATAAATTCTTAAGAGTACTAGTCACAAGGATTAAACCATTAAATTGATCTAGCCTACAAATCGACGCTTACTTACTAACGAGTTACTATCTTGTGGTTTCAGCCTAAAATACCTTAACATCCCATGCTAATAGGTCCATTGACATGATAATGAATAAGTTAATAAGTTGATTATCGCGTTAATTAACTGATATGCTAATAAAATAATCAAACATATCAATATATCACATCAATAAATATGATAGTCAAAATATTGACTTATAAATGTTCATAATCATGGAAGTAACAATATGTCCCACATCAACACCAGCAGCCACACGGTCCTTGAGAATAATTGGTTAATCTATATTAACACGCTATTGAGAATTACGTTCTTTTCTGATCTAAATCTTAATTATACGCTTAATTCTGTACTAATTTAGACTCTTTACTTTTATTTGTACTAATTTCGACCTTTTACTCCCCATTTTGTAATTAGTTATTCCTCTTGTCCACTGCCATTACAAACCGTGTTAATCATGTCAGTATCTAGTACATTTTAAACATCAATATTTTGACGAGTCCGTGAAAATTCGCCCAGTAAAATAAGAGTGATTTAGCTTTTTAGAGGAGTAGACAGAACGTAAGAAGTTCGGGACCTGAAACCCTCAGTGGTTAGGATTCTTATCTAAACGAGATTTTGACAAGCTGCATGGGGAAAGGATAAAATCTTCCCTTTCACTTGAGGTTAATAGCTTTGGTTGACAATCTTAAGTGGTTTTCATATGTAATGTGATTCAATCTTTGACGGTGCTATTTACGAGTGCTGATTTGACTAAGACTATTTTGAAAGAACATCTCTATTAAATATTTTTGTCTTTTTTTCTGTCGCAGAGGGTGATGAGCTGGACTGTTCTTGTCCGGTTTGAGTACCTTTGAGCGTTGGGGCTTCAATGATTTTCTCACGGAATGGCCACGGATGGCCAATTCTTGGGGGCCTTGTGTGTGATTAACTAGGCAAAGTATGAATTCTTCGAGACTCCTATAGGAAGAGAGGGAGGTGACAAGTGTCAACCAGCCCCATCAGGATTAACAATGTTGGTAGCGGTAACTGATGGAGGGAATTCTGCGTGCCTTTAGGAAATTCTGAGTTTATTCGTGGACAAACCTTACCCGGTCTTTAGGAGCGCCGAGGTGAATTGCAAACCCAGCTTATTTCCCTTTAGTTCCGTTGGAACATAGTTTTTTCTTGAAACAGAAGTGAAGTTGCCAATCTGGCCAGGCGTCGAAATTTTTCCAATGTTTTCGGAGTATGCAGATCCATAGCACCATGAAAAGCATAGAAACTTCGATTTATATATACAAGCCAAAAGCTCTGAAAAAGAACATGTGAAACTTTGATTTATGTATACATGCCAGAAACAGGCAGTTGTTCTGCTATCTACAATGAAAGAAATTATATACAGATATCCAAACACAGAAACTTTCTTCAATCAACAATCTCAAACGAGAGCTTTATTGTTTCCTGTCACAGTCACACGCAGACAAACCAAACCAGTCTTCTTTCAAGCATCCATACGGATAATACACCTGAGGCCAGCTCCACTAAGCATGTACTCAAAAGCCTTGTTAATTTCAGAGAAAGGGACTTCATGAGTAATAAATTTCTCTAGCTCCAGCTCCTGTCACATAACAACTACTGTGTTTAAGAATTCAATACAATGCATCAAGATCAAAGAAAGAAAAAGTAATGATTTCTTTCCAGTGACAAGGGTTAAGGATTTGCATTTTCATGAAGTGATAAGGACCATTTAAGTCGATATTTTGATAA